TGATCTCCTTTGCGTTGCTGGGTGGTGGCCAGTCAAGGATCGCACTGGTCTTGCTGGATTGGGTCGATATGCCATCAGCAGAGATTTGATGACCGAGGAACTCGACACTATCTTGAAAGAGCTTGACTTTTGATTTCTTGAGGTAAACTTGATTCTCGCGGCATCGCAGAAGAACGCGACGAAGAGTGTTGAGGTGTTGATCAAACGTACCGAAATCAAGGATGAGCAAGTCATCAATGTATGGGAATACACTGGTAATATCACGGAAGAGAAGAGTAATCCATTCTTGAAAAATATTGCTTGCGTGAATGTAGCCGAATGGAAGATTGCGAGCCGGATGCATCTGTCCTCGAAGCTGATCTGGTCGAGAGGGTGAAGAGCTTTGCGAAGCGTTATCCGAACAGTAGGACAGCTCAGGCTTGCAAGGCTGTGGAGGGATGCACCCCCGACGCTATCGCAGAAGCCATCCGCTCGACATAGATCCCACGCTCTAACAAAAAGGCAAGATTCGCTTTCAACTCCTCCTCAAACGCGAGTGGTACAGGGTAAGTTTTCTTTTGTACCGCCTCAGCGTTATCCTTGAGTCGAATCGTCGCCTTGAAGGACCGATCAAGAACAACGTCGCTAGGAATGTCATCACGAATGACATCCGCATAATCTTCCATGATTGCCTCGACTGCTTTCTTCTCCGGACTCGAAACATCGTCCGTCGGCTGAGCGATCTCCATGTTGCACACATGTACGACGTACCACTCGGACTCGTTACGCTTGAAGTCTCTCACCGCTTCTGTACAAGAAAGTACCTGGCACAGAGAGACGCCCGCAGTAGCACCTCGATTATTTGCCGAACCGATGAGCAATGGGAGTTCGACCCTACGCTTGCGATAAGTGGCAAAAACTCTCGGTCGACCTGCGTCAATCACGATCTTGTTCGCACACATCCATTCCCATGAGAGAATCATATCCGCATGCGGCAAGTCGAGCGTGTAGAATGATCCAGTACTCTTGAAGATCGAACCTACACCAAATTTCGTCTGAAAAACCATATCAGACGTGCTGCTACTCCCGTCAGCCATGATGACTCGCTTACGAACGTCTGCATCCTTGACCAACAGACCAAATTTGCGCACTGCTGCTGTGCTGATGAACGACTCTTCAGCAGCGGTGTCGAGCAATGCGTTCAGAGCTCCGAATTGAAAAGACACAGGAACCATTGGTAAAGCTTTGATCCGCTGCCAGAATCAACAGTAATACGGCATTTACGAACATCCCTGGGATTTCCCGATGGAGGTATGCCCGGGTCGAAGACAACACTCGAAGTCTGCGAACCCGTGCTCCCGTCGATTGCGCCCTCCGCGGCATGGTTTAAAGGTTGCTCAGGACCATACTTTTGACAGTTATAGCACTTCACCTTCTTCTTGTCGAACTTCTTCTCTTTGCCCTGTGCGTCGTCGCTCGGAGTAGGAGCCGACCGCTTGCCCACTGGCCTGACCGTCCTGTTGATGTCGCTGACGCAGGTTAAGAGCTTCACGATACAACTGCGGTAAGTAATGGCAATCCCAAACGTCTTACCATCGCGTTCCGAAGTTCCATCAGCATGCTCAGTTCCTTCCTGAGCATAGCACGTGCATAGTCCATTTGTATTCCATCGACAAAGACACGTTCTCAGTTACCCAGCGCAACACTAGGTCTCTTGGACACAAGGTAGCACGCCTGCAGGTGTGTAACCATCGCCTGGAATCTTGCGGTGTACGCCTCAACGGACTCCTTGGGCCCTTGCCTAGCCTGTTCTGCACATGACGCTCGAGTTTCTCAATAAACTCGAATGGTAACCATTTCAACAACAGTTTCTCCACAAACTGTTCCCAATCCCCATGCTCAGCTGAGAACTGATCTTGCTCAGCCATCGGGAGTGTAGCCCACCATAGCTGCACTTCCGGACCGAACGCAGAGATTGCAGCTCCTACCCACCTATGACGCGCAATACGGTGGAATTTACATCTGCCTTCCAGGTACCCAATCCATGAGACGATTGATTTCTCCATTGTCTGTTCGCCATTGTACTGCAGCAACGACTTCGGATCTAGTTTGCAAATCTGACCACCGTCATTCTCCGCATGCTTCGGCTTAGTAGGCTTGACCTCGTCGTGAACCCGCTCACAAAGCAGGGCTCGCATTTCCGCTGCTTCCTCAGCGAGCTTGCGGTTTTCTCGCTGAGATTCTGCAAGTGCCTTCACAAGATCCTGAAGTTTGCAATCAGCCTCTCGCTGGGATTCTGCGAGTGCATTGATAAGACTGTGCATCTTATCCGTGTTAGTCTGTTCCACGGATCTGAGCTCCCTGCATGTACGGCGTAGTTGCTCGTTTTCTTCCAAGATGTCACGAAAACTGGCTTTCAAGGGAAGAGCGGGACCCTCTCTTTCGTTTTCATCCCTGCTCTCCAACCATGAAGGCACAGTGCGACCACTGTCAACACTATCGGCACGCAAAACAGCGTCTGGACGAAGGACGGTTTCCGACGGATCATACGTACGCGATTGCATGATCACTACCGTAGCAAAACGCTGCTCTGCCGACCCATTCAGTGTCTCCTTCACAAAGCTGCCCAACCGCGACATGCTTCGACTCTGACACACGAAGTGATCCCGTCAAGAAAGCAAAGAGCAAGTGTGCGACAGCAATGCACAATCCAACGGCACTTTATTCCAAATCGACGTTTGAGATAAAGAAAAGTAAGTAATCTAATTTCCTAAGAAACGATACTGCCTAGGACACCTACTTAAAGAAAGACAGAAATAAACATATCCTATCAGGTTTGACCTCTCTTTGTTGCCCGACCAAATAGTAGAGCTGGTCCTGTCTTCGTCCTCGTCCTCGTCCTCGTCCTCGTCCTCGTCCTCGTCCTCGTCCTCGTCCTCGTCCTCGTCCTCTCTCCTTGTTCTGCTTGTTCTGCTTGTTCTTCTTGTGCTCCTTGTACTCTTTGCCTCCTCCTCAGCCTCCTCCTTTCACCTGTCAATACTCGTCCCGTCTGTCCAGTGCTTCTGTTCCTGTCCATCCTTTTTCATGACATCGATCATACTTCTTGTGTCCCTCATCTTTCGATCATACTTCTTGTGTCCCTCATCTTTCGATCATACTTCTTGTGTCCCTCATCTTTCGATCATACTTCTTGTGTCCCTCATCTTTCGATCATACTTCTTGTGTTCCTCCTCTTTTTCGACGAGCTAGCTAAATCTGTATTCAACAACACACTTCTGCTCTTACTCTGAACTTGGTTTGTAACTCACCTCCTCACTCTCTTGGAACACTTCCCGTGCGTAATTGGTATGCACAGCATCACTTCGGCAAGAGGAAATCCACTTGAACTGATCATGTCATGAACTGCTCCTTGGTGTCACTTTGTTCCACTGCCGAGATTGACGATCATGATCGCTGCATTCACGCTCAGCGCTTCCAACGATTCTCTGAGGTCGTTGCAGTCAAAGAGGCAGAAGGAGAGGGGGATGATGAGGTGGAGGAGTGCAGCAGGAGCTCCTTCATACCTATCAGCCTCACTGACTGATGCAAACAACAAGTCCGGCAGGAAGTCGATTCAGAGATGCGTCCAGACCAACGATGGCAGCACTCAGACCTGCGAAGCATTGCTCGACGACTACATCTCCGAGAGGTTCAAGGACTTGAACAAGGTTACATGCATCATCTTGTCGTCGAGATGCTGTTCAAAGTCTGCTGACGCTGCCTCCAGGCAGGAGATGCTTGTAACACTCAGACTGACCTCACCCCCAAGGCACAAAGTAGCGGACCTCCTATCCAAAGTCAACTCAAGTCGATTCTCAAGTGCACAACAGGAGCCCTTGACGAGACTCTGGATGAAGTCGATGCGTTCTTAGCGTCCTTGGAGAAAGACGTTTCCTCTGTTTCCGACGACGCGTTCTCTGGGGACGTCAGCCTGATCTTGGACGAAAGCTGCGAGATATGCGGGGCCGGCGGCGACGCAGTCTCGAGCAACTTGTCGAAACCTCCAACAGCGAGCAAGAGAGATGCCGGCGGCTCATCGCACGTCAGGACAAAGTCAAGGTCACCTGCTAGTATCAAGAAGGAAGGCAGCAAGACTCTGCTCAACTCGACGGTCTCCTCTCGGTGTATACGACGACATGCTTGCATTTCATTTTTAGACTGCACTGAACGATGGAGAAGGGGCAAGACTTTTTCGAGCAGCATCTGCCAGAGATCGAAGGTTTGGACTCTCGGAATGTCGCCATGTGCCAGTGAAGGGTGGTTGTAAACACAGAAGAAGTTGAAACAAGACACGAAGACTGCTGACAGAAGGCAGAAGAGCGTCAAATGGAATCAGGAGATTGTGAAAGTACTCGAGTACCCTGCTGGGACTGATAGGTATGAAGGATGAAACAGAGAGGGGGGGGGGGGAAGGGTTTAAGACAGGAGAAGCAAGTGGTGTAGAGGAGGAGGAAGGGAGGGATGGGAGGGAGAGGAGGGAGGAGAGTTTGGGGAAGAGGCATTGTGGGTTCATGGAGCAACGCATGGCGGTCAGTTTCAGCCCTTCAAACAAGTCTGTGAGGCAGAGCAGGCAGAGCTTTATCCGATCCCTCCTGCAAGCTCCCATCAAACGATGCAGCAAGAACGTCATAGAAGAAGCAGAGAAGGGAGAGTCCGACCAAGACTCTGCTCGCCCTGTATGCATCTTCTCCCGCGTCATAGCTGCTGACAAGTGATCTAGGGCTCAGGCGTCAACAACGCGGAGGACAAGCTGAAGATGCCGAGGAAGAACATGCTCAATGCGACAATGAAGATTCCCCTGACCTCCATGAAGCTTCCTTTAGACGACATGGCCGAGGCCACTGCGATGGGGTTGAACGAGGAGGCAGCTGCAGAGGACCAGGGTATGTCCAGCGAGGTGTATGAGGGCCTCCAACTGACCCCATCGAGCTGCGAGGGAGACGAAAGTTTCTTCTGCTCCAGCAGCAATGAAAGATCGTTGAACAAACACCTTTCCCAGACCGAGAGGCCGGCCAAGGGCCCGTCGGAGCCGCAGGACCTCACGGGCCTCTGCCTGTGGCTGACTCTCCGAGCCGCCATGCAGCTCTGAGTCAGTGCAAAAGCGCTAGGAGCCAAGAGAACTCCACTGCTGTTCGGCGTCAGTTACGTTTACTCTTATGTTGAGAATGTATCTTCCAAAATCACTCCGAACCTCGCTGCTCATCCGGCCAAGTGGCGGCTCGCGTGCGAACGCTTACTGGCCATCCATGTCCCCAGAATCTTCTCAGCCTCCAGAACATTCCTCTCGCTGATCGCTCGATCGCGCTCGACACTGAGTTGGGTGCAGGTTCTTTCAAGATGGGCTGATTGCTGTTGGATGAGTTGGAGCTGCTCTTGGTAGGCATGTTTCGCTTTGGTGCATAACGAAACCATGTTTTCGACATGATTCTCGATGTGTCTGATGATCGGTTCAAGAACAATGTGTAGTTTCAACTTCTCTTCAACCTGCCCTCCTTGCTTGGCGCTGACGAAGCTATCTGACATCTTGCAGCTGTGATCATCGCAAGGCAAGAGAGAAAGAGTGAGACTTTCTCCTCGAAGACATGAGGGAGGAGAGAGAATCTGCATGGCCGGGTTGGAGTCCTCCTTAGCACTCATGAACTCCAGCCTCGAAGATTGGCAGGACAGGTGCAGAGCCGGGAAAGGAGAAGGGGGAGGAGGAGAAGGGAGAGCAGGGCACTGTTCTAGCTCTTCTATCCTCATCTTCGCCTTCTTCAACTCCCTTTGCATCTTCCTCAACCTCAGCCCGACCAGCAGCCCCCCTGGGCCCGATGCAGGGGCCCGGGCCGGGCCGGGGCCATCGCCGCCGGGAACGGCCGCGGTCGAACGGCCGGGCCCGGGCCGCGGATCCGGGCGGCGGGCGGTACGTTCCGAAGTTCAGCGCCCGGCGGGCTGGCATCACTGACCGATCGTGGGGCCGAGGCCACGTGTGACAGCTGCCGTTGAACAGTAACGAAAACATGATTGAACTTGTATTATAAGGCTACTAAACTTCAACAAGACAGGTGAAGATTTTCAAAACTTACCTGTCTTGTTGTTTCAGCTGTCTTGTTGTTTCACCTATCTTGTTGTTTCAAAAACTGAAAATTCTCCGGAGCCGCCTCCACCAGGAGGCTTGCGGTGACAGAGCCTGCTGCGCACGCTCTGTCACCGCAGGCGAGGCCTCCATCACGACAGCTCCCTTGGCCTCGAAAAGCTGCCTGACATTCTGAGGCAGACCTTCCTGCGCGATCTGAGCCCCAAAACACTGCAGAGATCGCTCGAAGGAGCTGCGGTCATGTCGGAGAAGCCAGCAGTTGCCGTCGTCTGCGAGAGACCAGACCCAACAGGAGTGAGAGTCAGCCGAGGCGAGAGTCTTCCCGTCTCCTCCCATGCTCACGGCTGTAACCTCACGTTCATGACCTGTGAGAACCTGACGGTAGGTGCCTGTCTCTACGTCCCATACTCGTACGCTCCCGTCCTGGGACCCCGAGGCGAGAGTCTTCCCGTCTCCTCCCATGCTCACGGCTGTAACATCACCTTCGTGACCTGTGAGGACGTGACGGCAGGTGCCTGTCTCTACGTCCCATACTCGTACGCTCCTGTCCCGGGACCCCGAGGCGAGAGTCTTCCCGTCTCCTCCCATGCTCACGGCTGTAACATCACCTTTGTGACCTGTGAGGACGTGACGGCAGGTGCCTGTCTCTACGTCCCATACTCGTACGCTCCTGTCCCAGGACCCCGAGGCGAGAGTCTTCCCGTCTCCTCCCATGCTCACGGCTGTAACCTCACGTTCATGATCTGTGAGGACGTGACGGCAGGCGCCTGTCTCTACGTCCCATACTCGTACGCTCCTGTCCCAGGACCCCGAGGCGAGAGTCTTCCCGTCTCCTCCCATGCTCACGGCTGTAACCAAACCTTTGTGACCTGTGAGGACGTGACGGCAGGCGCCTGTCTCTACGTCCCATACTCGTACGCTCCCGTCCCAGGACCCCGAGGCGAGAGTCTTCCCATCTTCTCCCATGCTCACGCCAGTAACCACACGTTCTTGACCTGTGAGAACCTGACGGCAGGCGCCTGTCTCTACGTTCCATACTCGTACGCTCCCGTCCCGGAGCCCCGAGGAGAGGGTCTTCCATAATTGTACGCTCCAGTCAAGAGTTGTTGTAACAATTGTCTTCACACGGACCTCTTTGATCTCTCCAATAAGCCTTGTCATCACCTGTAGCCTGTGGCCTGTGCTAACGTCTATCGATCGTATGTCTCCATATTGAAATGCTGCTATGACAGACGAAAATCGCTCTCCCTCCAGTAAAACAGCAAGTGGACGACCACCTCCTCTACTACTTCCTCGCATGACTTGTTTGCAGGCGCCTGTCTCTACGTCCCATACTCGTACGCTCCTGTCCCAGGACCCCGAGGCGAGAGTCTTCCCGTCTCCTCCCATGCTCACGGCTGTAACATCACCTTCGTGACCTGTGAGAACCTGACGGCAGGCGCCTGTCTCTACGTCCCATACTCGTACGCTCCTGTCCCCGGACCCCGAGGCGAGAGTCTTCCCGTCTCCTCCCATGCTCACGGCTGTAACCTCACGTTCGTGACCTGTGAGAACCTGACGGCAGGTGCCTGTCTCTACGTCCCATACTCGTACGCTCCTGTCCCCGGACCCCGAGGCGAGAGTCTTCCCGTCTCCTCCCATGCTCACGGCTGTAACCTCACGTTCATGATCTGTGAGGACGTGACGGCAGGTGCCTGTCTCTACGTCCCATACTCGTACGCTCCCGTCCCCGGACCCCGAGGCGAGAGTCTTCCCGTCTCCTCCCATGCTCACGGCTGTAACCTCACGTTCATGACCTGTGAGAACCTGACGGCAGGCGCCTGTCTCTACGTCCCATACTCGTACGCTCCCGTCCCAGGACCCCGAGGCGAGAGTCTTCCCGTCTCCTCCCATGCTCACGGCTGTAACCTCACCTTCGTGACCTGTGAGGACGTGACGGCAGGCGCCTGTCTCTACGTCCCATACTCGTACGCTCCCGTCCCGGGACCCCGAGGCGAGAGTCTTCCCGTCCAATGCGAAGCTCAATTTCGATTGATTCATTTCAGCAATACTCGGGTAGCACCTCTCCCCAAAGTACGCTCCGTCCAGCTTCGCCTCATCCAGTCTCGCCTCCACAAAGTAACAGTGGCTCAGGTTCGCCCTCGATAGGTCCGCCCCCTCCAGCCTCGTCCGATGAAAGATCCCGTTGCGCAGCACTGCTCCTTCCATCCGCGCCCCCCTCAGGTCCAGCCCTGACAAGCTCTCTCCTGCTGCTACCAGGATCGACGCCGCGTTGGCCGACGCCCTTGCCCATCCCTCGTCCGCCTCGTCCCTCGATGCCTGCACCACCTCCACCAGCCTCTTCCTGTACCTCCCGTCCCCTCCCACGGCTGCCGCGTGCTCCCGGATCGTCTCGGCGTCCTCGCTCAAGCTTCGCACACTCAGGCTCTCCGGCAGTCCCTGGCTCCAGCGTGTGTCTTGGGGTAACTTGAGCCAGTCCAGCGTCGTCTCTGCCAGGAAGAAGCTCCGGAACGTGTCGTGCTCGAAGCTGATCTCCTTCCACTCCTCTATCCCTTGAATCACCCGCCTCTGTCGTGTCAGACAGCCTCCCAGCACGTAGTCCCACACCGCTCCTCCTCCTCCTGACCACAAGCCGCGGCCCGCCAGAAGCGCCTCTCCGCGTCTGAGCTTGATGCTGGCAGTGTTGTCCCGGAGCATCCGCAGCCCCACTGCCTTCCCTACCTCCAGATACGTTTGTTGCCAGCTCTCGTCGTCAATGCCTGCCTCTTGCCTCTGCTCTGCCAGCTCATGTTTGTCCTTGAGCTTGAGCCACTCTCGCTGCATCCGCTCCTCTACAAATCTTCTGTACATCTCATGCCGTGTGATCCTGTACCGCGGATCTTGCCTCCTCCGCTCCACCAGGCCTGGTAGTACACACAGAGCTACCTTGAGGCTCAGCGGCGTCGTCACTAGGTCCTCCAGCTCCGGCGTCATCTCCAGCGCCTCCTCGTACTGCTGCTGGCTCCACCCGCCTCCCGTCCCCGCCTTCGACACATGGTGCATGATGTATCGCCTCACCCGGCCCTTGTCCGATAGCCTCATCGGACACAGCCACGTCGCTTGAAAGCTATCCCTCCCTCCCACCACCGGCAGCCAGAACAGGCGCTCCGACGACCCGTCGCTCTTGAGGTAGTCGCTGCGGCACGTGATGATCGCCTTGAAGCCGTTGCAGTCATGCAGCTCCTTGTACACCTGCTCGATCACGTTGTTTCGCGTCCCAAGCTCATCGTACCCGTCCAACACCACCATAAAAGACTTGGTCCTCACGAAGCGCTTGAAGGCTTCCGTCGTCAGCTCTTGGTCTGCCATAGCGTCCTGCAGGTACTGCTGTACGCGTACCTCCTGTACGCTCTTGTACCTCGCAAGCTCTAGATATACCGGATACGGCATCCCTTCCTTCCACTCCTCCCCCAGCTTGATCGCCCATCTCTTCCCCAGCGTTGACTTACCCGTCCCGGCTTTGCCCTGGATGAGCAGGACCTGCTTGGTGGGGTCCTGCAAGAAGTCCTCGACCAGCTTGTCTGACCCGATCCTCCAGCCGACGCTGACGGCCTCGGGATCTCTGTCCGTGCAGTCTGTCACCATGTAGCCCTCCAGCGCGTCCTCGAGCCTGAAATCGCTCGCAAGGGCCCTCTTGATCACTGCGCGCATCTGCCCCGGCAGAGCGTTTAGCCTGCACTGTCCGCTCTTCTCCCAAGGCACCTCTCCTGTCTCCGGGTCCAACCTCGCCCCAAACCTGTACCGCTCGCTGTAGCACCAGGCGTTGATGATCATGTTGGCCTTGCGAGGCGCGTAGGGTCTAGACTGGGAGCTGACAGGGTGGATGGAGACTTGGGTGCGCTGCTCGAGCTTCTTGATGGCCTCGTAGTCTTCGATGAAGAAGTTCATCGGTTCATAGCTGTCCTCCGTGTTCACAGCCGTCACCAGCGACCCGGCTTCGTCCCCATGTGTCCCCGTGTTAACATGGATGGCTTGTCCGTGCCTGACCATGGCGTCGATGATCTCCTTCACGTCCTTGTGGTTTATCTCGTCGATGCTTTCCCAGACGATCTGCGCCGTCGGAAGTCTCTGCGCGACGAAAAGCTTCCTCCTAGACTCTCGGAGGACGAAGCGACCTGGCGAAATCTGGTCGAGGCCGAGGTCGCCAGCCTCGGTCTGTAGGTCGTAGAAGCGCCCAGGCACGAGAGAGTCAGCGTTCACGAGTGCGCGAGGAGCAGACGGGGCATGTCGGGGTCGCTTGCTGCTCTCAGCCGTCTGCTTGACTCGCACATCCCCTTCGCTGCACCTCTTCGCCATTGGTATAGCTAACCCCAGAAACCTTACAGCCACTACCCCTGCTCCAATAATCGAGTGCAGGGGTCATCAGTACAATCTTTTAAAAACCACATTTTAATGGTCGTGGAGACGATGGTGTACTATCGCAGTGTCGTGACCCAGCTTGTGCGCGCGCACACGACAAGTCGAGAGTGTCGAACGGCATGCTCCCAGGCGAGATGTACGAGATGAGGAGGTTTGTGTGCTGACGCATTTGTTCTCATCGCAGCCGAAAGTACAAGACACGTACGAGAGATCCTCCATCGAGGCCTGGCTCCAGCTCGGCGGCGTCCTACCAGCCCCCTCACTGGCGCCTGCCTCCCCTCCACGCACCTTGTCTCTAACTTCGCTCTCCGCAGCGCTATCCAAGAGTGGCAGGAGCAACACCTTCTATTCGTCCCCAGACATGAAGTCGACATTGACCAGCAGCCTATCTCAGCAGGCTCCTTCAAGACCCTCTACATAGGTCACCTCCGCAGGCGAGGGCGAGGAGCGGAGCCGGAAAGGCTCAAGGTCGCGGTGCTCAAGCTGAGGCAAGGCGGCGGCAAGAGAGAAGCCGGTGTGATGCTAAGGCTCGGGCCGCATCCTCGGCTTGTATGCTACATGGGGCAGAGCGAGGACGCCGAGGGCTGCCGCCTGCTGCTGACAGAGTACGCCAAGCTGGGGTCGTTGAGGCGGGCTTTACTGGGGACGCTGGCGGGCCAGGTGACGCGAGGGCACCAGATGTCGATGATGCAGCAGATCGCACAGGGCATGCTCGCAGCAAGGCACGTGCTGGTCATGGGCTTCGACAAGGAGGACGTGGGGAGGACGTCGGTTAAGGTTGCAGGCTTCGGGCGTGCAATAGACCTTGCGGACGATACTGACGCTACAGTAGCGGGGCGAGGGCTGCCCGTACGCTATATGCCCCCGGAGTCCATGAAGAAAGGCCGGTGCTCGGAGAAGAGCGACGTGTGGGCCTTCGGGGTGACGTGCTGGGAGATCATGACCTTGGGCAAGACCCCCTACTACAACATGACGGACGAAACTGTAATCCGGTACGTGTGCGGGCGAGGGAGGCTGCCCCGAGAGGACATACTCGGAAGATGTCCGGACGAGGTATGGGCCCTGATAGAGAGCTGCTGGTCGATTTGGGAAGAGGATCGCCCGACGTTCGCAGAGCTTTCGGTAGCTTTAGGAAGAGCCGGAGCGGAGGGGCTTGAGAGGACAGCATGGAGGTGGTCAAGCAAGACGCTTGGGCTGCAGGATGCACGGAGCGGCAGCCAGCCACTATGCCGAAGAATATGCAGTGTAGCAGAAGCTGCATGGAGAAGCATCGGGGAGGCAGCGGGCGGAGGGATCGAGTCGATGGCGACGAGACTGAAGAAGCGCAAGTACCGAGAGCTTGCGGGACAAGAGTCAGCATGCGATGCTTTGGAAGGCATGACGAATGCCGCCCGTGACCCGCCGAGCACGGGAGCTAAGAGGCTACGGGTCGGGGCGCCGGCAGCGGTTGAGGTGGGATGCAGCAGCCGGCAAGGGAGGCATGGAAGCAGCTGTGGACAGGAGCTGAAAACAGCATAGAGGCGGTAGTGCAGGAGATAAGGACGTACGAGGTACTCGCGGAGGTACAGCAAGCTGCGTGCGAAGCCTTGGTCAGCATGGCTCAGAGCGTTGAAGACTACAAGCGCAAGGCGAGCGAGGCGGGAGCGATCGAGGCTGTCGTCAGCGCCATGTCCAGGCACCCAGATGACACAGGGGTACAGCAGGCTGCGTGCGAGGCCCTGGAGGACATTGTCTCGTTGGTCGATGAGAACCAGGTGCGCGCGAGAGAGGCGGGAGCGATCGAGGCTGCCGTCAGTGCCATGTCCAGGCACGCGGACGATGCGCTGGTACAGCAGGCTGCGTGCGGGGCTCTGTCCTACATGTTGAGTTTCATGGATGAGAACCAGGTGCGCGCGCGAGCGGCGGGAGCGATCGCTTCTGTCATTAGAGTCCTCGATATCCACGCAGACAATGTGCAGGTGCAGCTTGAAGGATTCTGGGCCCTCGAATACATCTTGCAATACTTCCGATATCAGGGCACAGCGAGTGATACAGCAGCAATCGACGCTATAGTCAGCGCGATGACCAGACACCAGAGCAACGCGGAGATGCAAAAAAGCTTTTGCAAGGTGCTAAATGAAATAACCAAGAACAACAAAGAGAACAGGCTCCCGGTCACCCAGGCGGGAGCGATCGAGGCCGTCGTCAGCGCCATGACCGGGAGCTCAAACGACGACGTACAGCAGGCAGCATGCGACGCGCTGCACAGCATTGTCAGCGGCATGGCAGCCAGCCAGGTGCGCGCACGAGAGGCGGGAGCGATCGAGGCCGTCGTCAGCGCCATGACCGGAAGCTCGGACGTGCGCCGGGGTGGGTACAGCGGGCAGCATGCGAGGCGCTTCACAGCATTGTCAGCGGCATGATGGCAGCCAGCCAGGTGCGCGCGCGAGAGGCGGGAGCGATCGAGGCCGTCGTCAGCGCCATGACCGGGAGCTCGAACGACGATGTACAGCAGGCAGCATGCGACGCGCTGCACAGCATTGTCAGCGGCATGGCAGCCAGCCAGGTGCGCGCACGAGAGGCGGGAGCGATCGAGGCCGTCGTCAGCGCGATGAAAAGGAATAGGCACCGCACTTGGTTGCAGGACAGCCTTATGGAGGCGTTGGGAGCAGCCTTGCGAGCAACAACTCGAGCAACATCCAACACATCCGATCGCTCGGAGCCGATGTCTTTGCTGACAAGGTCTTCGACTCGCGTGGCTCTGAAGCAAGCCGACGGCTGAGGTCTGTGCTTGAGCGACAAGATTCCGACGCAGCAATGGAAGGGAAGATGAGAAGCTGAGGACCGACGGAGGAAGGAGCCTCAGAAATCGAACAACCCTACCTGGATGGATGGGTGGTCAAATCTCGGGATAAGTTCTTCTGTAAGGCGACTCTGTGATGAGAGTTACAGGGTGAAGCGTCTCATCAGGTGGCTGAGCTCAGTGGCAGGAGGGAGATGAGAGCTGATATCAACCGAGCCCGAATAAAGGACAGTTGGCTGTTTTGTACTCATGTTCGAAGCTGACTTCTCTTGGAAAACCCAGGATACTCTACTCCAGTGTGAATCTACTGAATAGGACCCCTCTGGATCCTCTTTGTTTCAGGAACAGTGTACCCGTGGGGTCTTTTACATGCTGAAGAACAGGGGTGATCCTTGTGGAATACAAAACATCTAAGTAGAGAAACTTGTCAACTTCCAAGGAGAGGACACTCCTACTTCCTTCAGCCAAGAGACAGTACCTCTGTCTGCTTCTTCGAAGCTAATAGGACCAGGTGGCCCATCTTCCCCTTTCATGTGTACACCACGTCCGTTTGTGCCACACCTGTTTGTTGGCTTGCTTTGTATCGTGTGTCAGAATAAAGAGAGTTAGATCTCCTTCTGTCACAGATTTCCTCTTTTTAAAGAAAATCCAGCGCAAGTTCTTGTTCAGCCACGCTCAAAGGTCATCCCGTAAAGTCTCGCGGTGTGACAAAGGTTGGGGTCTTGAAGTTAAGTGAGGACATAGGATCGACGGACCTGGATTGATGCGTGAAGCATTTACCTTTCACTTGAAATGATTTATTGTCCTTCAAATGATTTATTGAAATGTAAAACCGTGCTTTGATGCGCTCTTTGAATTGAAATCACGTTTCATGTGATTCACGAGGACGATATCGACAGCAACAATGATGTGACTGTCAGGCCCTGGCCCTGCGGAGAGTGATTCTAGTAAGCATCAGAATGATCGGGCCTCAGACCTCTCAAGGACCCTCGCGAGGACTTCAAGGACTGCCACTTCGTCTCCTTGGTCCACAACGGCACACAGACCCTACCTGGTCTGTCGAGGTGGATTGAATGGGTCTGCCTCGCTCCGAGCTGACAGCCGACATCTTCGTCCCAAGAGGCAAATAAGGCAAGGAAGTCCGAGCGCGAGAAGGTTGGCTGTGCGACTTGTTCCGTAGATCTCGGAATCCTTCGTTCACTGGTCTGAGCCTTACGCGATTTTCTCACTTTCAATACTGATAGTTTGCTTGCTTTCTTTGCTGAAATCATCCTTTGGGATTCTGAATCAGTGCTGGAATGTGAACCAATTCGCTACCATATGTTGTATACACAACCTTGCGTAAGACGTTGAGCTCAGATGATCTTAGGATCTCTGTTTATTAAGCACACACACTCATCAGATCAGCAGCACCACTGCAGGAATCTGCATCGTCATCCTATTTCCCTACGCTACGTCCAAGGGGCGTCCGGTATGAGTCCAGAATACAACACCATCACATGCTGCTCGAGTCTGTCTCACAAACTCATGATATGATCAAGAGCTGCAAAGGCAAGGAGCAGATGCAATGGCTGACTACACAACTTGAGAAGAAGGAGCTCGAGCAGAAGTATGCGGTTGAGAAGAAGGAGCTCGAGCAGAAGTATGCGGTTGAGAAGAAGGAGCTCGAGCAGAAGTATGCGGTTGAGAAGATGGAGAGCGAGCAGAAGTATGCGGTTGAGAAGAAGGAGCTCGAGCAGAAGATCGAGAGCTGCAAAAACCAGGAGCAGATGCAATGGCTGACTACACAACTTGAGAAGAAGGAGAGCGAGCAGAAGTATGCGGTTGAGAAGAAGGAGCTCGAGCAGAAGTATGCGGTTGAGAAGAAGGAGCTCGAGCAGAAGTATGCGGTTGAGAAGATGGAGAGCGAGCAGAAGTATGCGGTTGAGAAGAAGGAGCTCGAGCAGAAGATCGAGAGCTGCAAAAACCAGGAGCAGATGCAATGGCTGACTACACAACTTGAGAAGAAGGAGCTCGAGCTGAAGTATGCGGTTGAGAAGAAGGAGCTCGAGCTGAAGTATGCGGTTGAGAAGAAGGAGCTCGAGCAGAAGTATGCGGTTGAGAAGAAGGAGCTCGAGCAGAAGATCGAGAGCTGCAAAGACCAGGAGCAGAAGCGAAGGCTGACTACACAACTTGAGACGAAGGAGAGCGAGCTGAAGAATGCGGTTGAGACCAAGGAGCGCGAGCTCAAAGTGGAGAAGAAGGAGCTCGAGCAGAAATTCTTGATTCACAATTATATGGCTGGAGGTCGCTTACAGACAGGAGAAATAATGAAGTCGACTTCCGTGATTGATGCAATGGAGGATCGTTTTGTGTACGATGAAACGAAGTTGTTTTTGGATATATCGGCAGACAGTGGGAAGGAGTCTGGGTTACGAGCATTTGAGGACGAGGATGTAAAGGAGAAGGGCATGAGAATTTTCAGCAGAAAGGGACTTCGGGAGCAGATGGACTTCATGCAAAAAAGAGTCATGCAAGCAGGAAGTTTGGGCTGGGTGTTGGGGGCACCAGGGACGGGAAAGTCTCTTACAGGCCTTGCATTCGCACTCTCCATTGACAGGGAGGTCTGGGGGGTGAGTTGGATGCATATCTCTCCCTATCCTGCAAAGGCTGTTCAGTGGATCGCTGCAAGGAAAACTGTATATGAAGCTGAATTGCAGACGACAAATGATGACTTTCTGTATGCTCTTCTGAATGGTGTGGATGATGATTCTCAGCATGTATTCGTACTGGATGGTTTCCTGCAAGACTCGCACAAAATGTTGCAGCATATGTTGATGAGATGGCGTGAAAAAAAGAAAGAGAATAGAAGAGTGCTCTTTATTTCATCGATGCAGACCAGGTACAAGGTGAAGTGGGAAGATGATCAGGTTTGGGGCGTGGAGGTATTTCTCCTTGAGTCATGGAGACTGGAAGAGTATCAAGAGGCAGTGATGGACGACCTGTTCTACTCTTCTGTTGAAAGGAAATTAGATGCAAACTTGTCTCGAGGATCGGTTGCTCAACGGTCATTTTCGAGCAATCTGAGCCGAGAAGATCGAATACTGTCCAAGTATTATTATGCAGGAGGATCGTCAAGATACATGTTTCAGATGAGTAGTCAACAGATTATCGACGACGTTTCTAACACTATCAAAAACGTGGGATTTCTTGAAACTCTCTCCACAAAGATAGGGCAGTACAGTGGGGCTGCAATCAATCGACTCTTTTCGATATACAAGGATCAAGACAAGTCAGAATATACTGTATTCTTAAGCAGGTATCTTACAGAGAAGATTTGCGTTCAAACAGGGTGTGAACAATTTACACGGTCTTTGGTGCATTTCTGCACAATGTATCATCCAGTTGCCAAAGGACTCATGCTTGAAGATTTGTTCTTCATGGTGGTACATCACCAAGGTTTGGCATTGCACGTGCGAGGTGAAGACGCGCAAGAAGCTTGGCAGGCTGCCCCTGTCGTGACTTGCTTGATACCTCTTACGAAAGGAGTGGTGGAGAGTCAGAGCTGCGACTTTTGGGTGCGACCACCTGATTTCAACCATCCAGGATATGATGGGGTGTTTCTTAGTAGAAGCAGGAAATTAGTACGGTTTGTACAAGTAACCGCAGCAAAAGATCATGATCTGAAACTACAATATTTCAAGGAACTCATTGACAATCTTGTTTTAGTAGGATTTCCGGTTCAACGAATAGAAATTTGTTTCATCGTGCTCCGTAAGGATCTAGAGTGTTTCAAAGTTTCGAAGGTCTTTGGTCAAGGATCTCTTGAGCAATATGGTTTTGCGAAAGGAAAGGAGCGAAGATCTATCAGGGTGATGGGTGTTGAGCTTATCTAATTGGACACTCCCATCATTTCAATATTTCAGTGGTGCTGAGTACCTGGAATTGAATCTGTTGAAGCAATCATACTTCAGTAAACATGTTTGAACCTAGAATTAGTATGACTTTTATTGCAAATACACATTCTAGTCATCTCTCTTTCTTCACCCTGATTCTCCTGTCACTGTCCGATCTCTGGCTCAACACTACGCTTCGTAACTCTGGAAACATATCTTCGTAATTCTGGAAAGCATTCGACACTGCATCAAAGCCTGTTCATATTGTCGACGGGCTTTCAAAGACATCGACTTGAAAACTGTACAGAATTATGCAGTGTTCACTGACGCAATGGTGCTGAAATCGTTACATTTTCTGCAAAACATCGGGCACGAAACGTTGAAGATAAGCGACACCGATGATAGCTTGCTACAAGTAGCGGCTAGTTATCTCAAGCTGAGCCAGCATACCATCAATACTTCTCATATACGAGCAAAGTTTACGCTTCTAGGTGACCTCTTTGGACAGAATGCAGAGGGCTTCAAAAATTGTTTCCATCATTACTTCACCTCGTTTCGACATGGAGCAGATGCTAAAATGCATCATGATAAATTCCAGCTGCACATAGACGCGCAAAAGCTTCGAAGTCAAGCAAAGAATCATCGGCAAAAGCACAACTCATTTTGTAAGAAAATCAGACATTGGGCCACCTCGCACTATGACACTGTTGGTGAGCTACAAGAGCAAATACACGATTATCACTTAAGGTAACCAGCGAGCTGGAATGCACCAGAGTACTGACATGCCACCATGCAGGTATGTAAGGCCTGAACATATTAGCCAAGACCAGAACAGAACGATTGATTACAGATGGATTGGGAGAATTTGATCCAAACAAGAGTAGGTTTCAATTCAACGAGTACTTGTCAAACCCTCAGTTATCTCTCCAACAACAAAGAAGCTACTTTTCTTTGCGCCATGTATCAATCATTTACTGAAGAATGTCAGGCACACGGTTGGCTCGGGGAGACACCCGACTGCACAGCAAGAGGCTAAACAAGGGCATGCTGCGTACACTGATATTTCCAAGAAGAATTCGTCATGGCTAACGCAGCTGGAAGTCGATGGGTGCACGGACCCTCAATCAATGGATATCATGTCAAAAATGTTCAGCAGCAAGGCCATATCGCTTCTGAATGCAGAGGGACACATTGGAACAGCAAGAATGGCAGAAGCAATGAACGGCCTTCACATCCTCACCAAGTCTGAAAGAAGAAATCTCATTCTTAGGGCTCGAACCTGGCTTCTAAGAGATGTGGATTGGATGAGTGTGGGCAAGAAGCACATGAGGGGGTTGTCATCAGGTGTGTTGGGTGAACAGGAGTATGACTTCAATGCACGGACGCTGTGCACAGACAGCGTTGAAAACCTCTGGCCTTTGATATGTCATTTGAACAAGAAAGATTTCTTGAGGATATTCAACAAAGCATGCACTGAGCTCTCAAAAAAATTCGATTACAATCTGCATTTTGTGTATGACCACCAAAAAAGCGAATCATTCTTGGAAACAACGCGGGGAGAAGAAGCTTTTCAACGCAGAAGAAGGAACACGGGACAAAGAGAATGAGTGCAGGTCCCAACCTAGATCTCGTAAACTTATACATCTCAATCTTTGGATACACGAGGAGGATTCACAGGACAAATGCCTAGATTTCAGGGACAACGAACTGTGTCTGGTTGTAGGTCTACGGAAGAAGAGATAGAAAGGACAAAATGTCAAAAGTTAAGACGTGTACAAAGCGAACAAGTATAGAGAATGACAATTTGTATGTATCTCTGAATATAAAATGTTTGTTTTGCAATGTACAGATTTTCATTCTTGAGATATTCATCCTCGAAACAGTTTGTCGCGGACAGATCGCCATTGCGATTTGAGAGACCGTTGAGATGAATCGTACAAGATGTTTCATTCTAGGCCTGGCCCTTTCTTCGTCTGCAAGTCTCTTTGCCCCTTGTGATGCCTGGGTCCTGTCATATCTGGGTCCCGTCATCGACGTGAACTCAGCTTCCGAGGCCAGCTGGTCTATGAGGATGGGTTTGGATCCTAGGTTCCAAAGCAGAGTACTTGCAAGCTGCTCAGCTGCCCGTGCGCGAGTACGAATCTTGGCCACAGGTGCTTCTCCTGATCGCGCTTCCGCATATTTGGAGGAGGCATGCCAGGTGCTGGGGGAGGAACCTCGGAGAGTCGGAAAGCGTTTGACGTGGCGATATGCATGCTCCAGTAACTCCCCAGATTCTAGAACCTTCTGCGAAAGGACTCATGGAGCATGAAAGCAGCTGCAGCTGCAGCAGTTGGAACGGGATAAAAGGGATCTTTCCAATTACTACAAGCGCCAACTGTCCGCCACCGTATCTGGTTGAGAGGCTGTCTATGAAGGTATTGGATGTTGCATCCGTCGGCAAGGATAAGGCGGTCGAATCCGCGGTAGCAGAGTTGGTGCAGAGGGACTCGAACCTGATTAAGCGAGGGCGGATCTCCATGAGTGACATGAATCAGCTGCAGCTGAAGAGGAGAAGAGATTTTTCGGAGAGCTTGCACGGCTTTTCAGCAGGAGGGTAGACTAGTGCGGGAGAGCAAAATTTAGAGGAATCTACCGAGGACACCAATGAGCCATAAAACGAGGATGATGAATCTACTAGGCCATGTCTCCTGTGTAGGCTGCACGGACAGCCTTGTGATGAACAGCATGTCTCCTGAAGAATCTGATTCTCCCAATGATATGCAGAATTATGATGCAAGACAAGAACTTCAGCCAGCTGTTGTGATTGAGCAGCCTCGGGCAATATCGCCGCTCAAGGTCGACGACACTCTTGCCACGACCACCCCAACGCCGGTTGGTTTTTCCGAAGGTTTGTGAAGCCATGCATCCTCAACACTTGAACATCTATGCAGACAACGAGGTGTTTGAGACGTGGCTTCGAAAAGAATACAGGGGCACTGTGGACTTCACGATCCTCCGCCCGTTCGAGTTCAAGAAAGGGAAGGGCGGCAAATACGTCATGGCGGTTTGTACCTGAAGAAGTATGTGGACGTCGGCAACAAGAAGGGCTAAACTTGCAATCACGGTGCAATGCAACGGTTGCCTTTTAACTGCAAGGAACTCCATGAATATGCAGATGCTTCTTTTGCTTTTGCTTTTCTATACTAGTGCTTCACTCCACACCAGATGTAGCACAGACTTAGTATGGCTCCATAAAAAGATGTGCAAACGATACTTGTGATCTCTGAACCTGCATCCCACTGACGAGTCCACGGCCACTTGAATGGAGCAAGTTGATGACACAGTAAGCAGGTTCACTTGTACCTCGTGTCGTTTGTCTATTAGTCCAGCACTCGTCTCCTCCTCTGTGCTTGCTCGCATGCCAAACGAAGTAATCCGCCTTTGGCTGAAGATTGAGCAAAGTCGATGCTTGGACGTGATGTCGCTGCCGGGAGATCTCAAAACTTTCTCTCCCTTCATCACCCTCCTAGTAGGCTGCTTCATCCTGAGGTCTGCAAGAATCGTGACCTATCCCTCCATGCCTCGGAACAACGCATGATTGACTCGTCACAGAGTCTGAAACCGTGATTGGAAACTAGCTAAAACGATGAGTCAGCCAAAGCCCTTCCAGCGGCTACCCCAGGGCCGACACCATGCTGCATCTCGGTTCCGAAGTTCCAGAAGCCTGATTGCATCCACTAAAGAGCAACAACTTCGGATGCTGTCTGCGATTCTTGCACAGCCGTGGGCGCTTCCTCGTTTGAGAACTTTCTGACGGTTCACTAATCTCAGCCGCTCGCCGCAAAGTTGCCAGCGTGCTCGCAGCCTATGTTCCGACACGATGGCAACCGGTGACTGTGCGACTGGCGCTCGGCACTGACCGCACGCTGTCTCCCGTTCCGGCGCCGGAATCGGACCTGGCGCCGGAACCGTTGAGCCGCTACGGTACCGTACGCCAAGGCCGCCACAGTGACCGTGAATAGACTTTATTTCAGATCAAACGGTCGCAAAGATGATTATCATCAATAAGCTACACAATATCCTAAACATGTACTTGATTCAAATGATACCTGTGCCACTCTGTGCATCGCATCCGGCATCATTCTTACAAAGCGGCCGAGTCCGGGGGTCGGCTGGCTGGCAGGCCCCACCGTGCCCCTCAGCCCCCCGCCCTGCGCGCACGCCCCGGCGATCCCGCGGTCCGGGTGTTGAGCTTATCTAATTGGACACTCCCATCATTTCAATATTTCAGTGGTGCTGAGTACCTGGAATTGAATCTGTTGAAGCAATCATACTTCAGTAAACATGTTTGAACCTAGAATTAGTATGACTTTTATTGCAAATACACATTCTAGTCATCTCTCTTTCTTCACCCTGATTCTCCTGTCACTGTCCGATCTCTGGCTCAACACTACGCTTCGTAACTCTGGAAACATTCAACTGGCAAGATACTAACGATGTGTGACACATAGATAGCACGGAAAGCGTTTGACGTGGCGATATGCATGCTGCGAGGTCAAGAGAACGACAGCATAGGACGCACGAGCGTAACACGTCGAGAAGGGAAGAAAAGGTTGATTGTCGCAATGGAATATAATGAGTGCAATACAAGCCAACTCAAACACGTGGTATTAAACTCAATAGCGAGTTGAAAATGTACAAAAAGGTGAAAATGCGGGACTAAATGGATAGGACTTGGCAGAAATGAAATGAAATAGAATCTCGGTAATTGAGAGCGCAAGATAGATGACGATAGCATCATTGTGATCAAGAAATGCATCAAACTCTTGAACGATATTATAGAAACTCTAGATCGCTACGACATCCATTGACCTGTATGTTGCGCTGGATGTGTGCAAATCCTACATCTTGGAAGAGATATTCAGCCAATTGAAGGAGAACCAAAAACCCATCACTCGCTCCAATGTTAAGGAGACTATCATGAGGGATGAATCACTCAGAGTCGCATTCTTTGAGGATGTCCTAGGAAAGCCAAAGGACTTCAAGATCAAATCCAAGGCATACGCCAATAAATCCGCACAGGGCACTACAAAGGCCATGTATGAGGTAATGCTCCAGAGATATCTCAATCATAACACCAAGGTGTCAAAGGAGGCATATGCTAGCATCACAGGTCAGCTTAAGTCATATATGGATAGGGTGATGCGTGCTGTGCTGGACATTAGAAAGAACAGCATCACATTGAAGGATTGCCTAGAATCTTTGCACAGGACCAACCTTGCTGTAGCAATGGCCTTCAACTACATAACAGAATACCACAACAACAAGACAGCAAAAGAGATATTGGATGCATTTGAACCCAAGACCCCGTGTGAAATTGTTGTAGGATGCATCAATGAGATCGTGTTGCAATACGCACCAAAGAAAAAACTAGATGATGATTCAATGAGGTTGATGCATGCCGTGTTTGAGGCATACATTGCTAATATCCTTGTTGAATCCAGCATGTTAGTGACATTGCAGAAGAAGAAGACGATCAAGATCGAACACTACACCTGGCGCGTAGCCATGGTGACCCATAAACCCTAAACCATAAACCCTAAACCATAAACGCTGATTTAAAGTTTTAGGAAGCTTTGATGTTGTTTGGCCGCGTATGGCCTCGCTTAGGAGTCCAGCGTCGCTCTCCGCCTCCTGCTCAAACTTAACTGATACCTTGAAAACTTATTTCACCCGGGTGACCTGGGCAGCAGCGGAAGCCCCGTCGGCCCGGCAAGAGACTGCCAGTGTGCCATCATCATGGCGACACTGAACTACTTGCTGCCCGGCCATGGATCCGATTTGTGAGTTGGACTTTCCCAGGCTGGATCACTTGGCCTTGAAGCCCCACCTCAGTGGTACAATGGTCTTCTCGGCTTTCGTTACGTAATATTTTATTGAGAGTGGGCATGCGGTGGTGGCAAACATCGAAGTTCGACACAAAGACATTCTTCGTTCATCTCAAGCCTGAGTTCCGATGATCGTCGGAGTCAGAAACATATTCACACACCCAAGCAACGCCGCGACCTGGCATGCTCATCCAGAGATGTAACAAACAGTAAGACTTCACGAACAGTATCTTGAACCTTCGCAGGACGCGATTCAGAGATAAATGGAAGATTCTATTCCCATTACCTGTGTCGACAGATCGATTTGGAATGAGAAATATCGCTTTGACTTTGGAGGAATCCGGACCTGAAACAAACGAAGTGAGTTGAAAACCTAACATGTGGCAGGTTAAACCTCAGAAAATTGCTTTCCATGAAACTTGAGAATGTCTGGGAAGTTGCCTCCTGCGTTACAGAGATTCACTTTTTGAAGCAACGAGACGTTGGTAGGAAGTTACTCATTCTGAATCGCCTCTCATGATCGTAGGGATTGGAGTATGAAATCTTCTTGTTCGAGATCTGCTAATGAATAAGTTTCCCACGATGTTTCTCAAGCATCGACAAACCTTCCCCGCAACCAGTGTGATCTTGTACCTGTAGATGCCAACCCGTCACCCTTCTGCAAGGAATTCAAGTTGTTCTGGCATACCGCTGGGAGATGTGTGGTTTGCAGGCTACTGCGGTCAAGATGCACGTGTACAATCCCTACACAGGAGAAATGATCAGGCTCAAAGCGCAGATCAAAATCAAAGAACTTGCCTTTGGTCTTTCATTGGCTTGTGCACATACCACCTTGAATATCGCTTGACACGGCCCTTCCTATTGCTTCATCACGATATTAAGAACAAAAAACAGAATCCCACTTTGTTGGGCTTGAACTCTATACAAAGTTTCCATCTGTTCGACTGTGCATTCCCCTGTTGACTGATATGTTCTTCTTTGCTTGTAACAATGGCTCCCCGAAGCGTATCGGGCTTAGAGGAGAAGAACTTCATGTCGTCGACACTAAATCGAGTAGTTAGTCACATTGAAAGGATTATAGCTGATTGTACCTGTAAAATCCAGAAGGGAAGGTAGACAAAGGAAGGATCTTTGGCTCTTGTTCAACCTGTTCAAGAGTAAGCATTTTTCTCATCAGCATCGTAATTGGTTATAGATCAAACCTGGCCGAGCCGACCTTTGATAGCATATCTGGGCACAATTTGCACTCTAAATTTGAAGATGCATAATAGATTGGCTATCAGAACAAAAATTTGTCACAATGGGAAAGTGATTCTCCATGCCGATTACCAAGGTATCTGTCACCATAAACAAAAAGGTGAAAAGAATGCATTTGAAATTGTGAGTTCAATCGCGCCTTTAGCCTGATTTCCTGTACATTGAATGAGTGGGTGGTATGTCCTTGTTTAAAATCAGAACGATCGCTCACATGCAAATTTGGGAATTTGGTTCCCCGTGTCGTTGCGATGATATTGATTTTCTCATTTTCAGACATAGCGTGCAAGTTTGAATCATGAAAGGTTCCTCGCCAAGGAGAATTCTGATCGATCAACACATTTTTGCTGAAAATTTCATTATAGCCTTGATAAAATGAAAATGTTCGATCGATCACAGGATGAGTTGTATTGACACGCAGTTGCAAGCCCGAAACATCTTCAAAATGATCACCAACACTACTCTTCACTTGAAATGTAACCAGAACATCTTTCGATTTACAAAACGAAGCCTCTACTTTTGTTGCATTGCTGGTGCACTCATTACCCATACTTGAGACTGAGAAATTGAGGGTTCGAAATTTGAAGACAAAGCTGATTTCTTCCTTCGATGTCATCCAGACATCATAAGTATGAACATTTACTGGTGATTCTTGTCCGTTTACGATGGATACTTTTTCAGCCAGGTATCCATCAAGATTTTGATTCAAGTCAATCAAATTTGAATGAGCAAGAAATTCCAACTCTTCTTTATCTGTTACAAGGTCCAAGTCAGTATCTTGGATGACCACTCTGAAAATTCTGTGATTGTCGTATGGATTTTGAAAGGAGTGAAGAAAATATTTCGATGGCCCAGAGTGGCAATTCAGAGTCAGTTTCGAAATCAATGATGTTTGCAAATAAGATGAAACTTTTTGCTCTCGATACTTGTCATGATGATACTGGGCATTTTCGATAACTGCATCAGCCTGTGGAAGAGGCAATGATCCTGCACCTTCCGCTTCCAATCTCCTTCGTATCATTTGAGTTCGCTTCCATCTCAGGAGTTTTTTCCTATGACTAGTTGTTTCAGGGTCTGCAACATCGTTTCTCCTCTCATTCTCTAGGTAAACAGCCACACCAAACCATCCAAAAAATCGAGACTTTGGAACACCTTCGTTGCTGTTCTTGCCCATCAAAGTCAAGTTCTCACTTAGGAGGTAATGTGGTCCATCGAAGTGTATGTTGGCCTCTTTCATTGTTTCCAAAAGGTCATCTTGACGATATTCCTCGTTCTGTGAAAGAATTTCCCATGCTCGATCCAAGTTCCCGTAGGCAGACGCAAAGAATGTCAACAACTTGGAGTTCAAGTCCAAAAGTAATCTCTGTTCGTGTTGTGAACATCCAGAATTGAGAATTAAAGAATCAAAACCTGCTTGTATGCAAGAAATATCTATTAAATCCTCAGAAATTCCAATCGAATTGGCGGTTTGCATGTGCTCTTGCAGAAATGTCTGATGAAGAGCATTGCATATTTCGTTAGCCTGACGCTGCGTGAATTGTATACCTACATCAAACACAGCCTTTATCAATTCATCTTTGGACATTTTGGTGCTACGGGTCTCAAAAATCAAGTTTTGATCTCCATTCTGTGTCTTTGACCGGCGAACAAGCTCTTGAATCTCTTGAATCTTGCCGTGTATCAATGCAAGACACTTCCAGTCATGTTCGTGATCTGAAGTCCTTCTCTGAAAACCGATGCTATCTTCAATTTCAAAGATAGTTCGTTTCGGAGGACTGTCTTGTTTGGATACGATTTCATTTTCATCTGCCGTGCATACAGCATGGATCAAACGTATGCACAATTGTCCTTTCTTATCTTCTTCCCCATAATCCCATGTCAATACATCATCGACAAATTCGTCAATGTCTAAACGACATTGAGCCTTGTTGTGGTCCGATTCGACATCATACTGCGTGTGCTTGTCAACTGATGAGATATATGTCGAATTGAATATATCACAATTCTCAACCACCTGAACCATTTGTCTATCATGTCGTATCAATTTGTTCAAAGGTGCAGTTGCTGTGCCAATCTGAAGATTGGATTCCGCATCAAAAATATGAATCCTCAACCTGCCCTTTTCCATGTACCTCAAAAAGTCCTTTTGAAACAAGTTCGAATCGTTATCTGTATCAAATTGATTTCCGGTGATGAATTGTAAGGTAAGCTTAGGAATTTCCAGATTTGCAATAGATTTAGTAAAGAAAGAACGGAAGTTATTTGGGACCATTTCAGAAGCGTAGAGTTGGAAATTCTCTGTTGCACATTCACTGAAATTGTAGAATTCAATCGTGCAGTATATCCGTGAAATTTCACAAGGAACACTGACAGCGACAAATTGCAAAATCAAAATTTCCCCCTGGGAGTTCAAGGTTTTTGTGTGTTTCTGGACAGTTGCAGGACTGCGACTTGATAGTGAAGATATTGATTTTGGCAAAAAGTCATCGAAAAGATTCAGTAAACCTTTTGTAAAATTTTCACTCCAAACTTGAGGTGATTGACTGGCTTTCTGTTGAATGGCTGTGGTAATTACATGTCCATTGGAATGCGCAATATTTGTAATTGATCCTGGCATGGGTCCATCAGTCGTGTATACTCTTGATTTTTCATTTGTCTTGTCCATACTTCGTTCTTTTTCGAGTTTCAATGCCAGATTTTCATCGCTATTTGGAACATTCGATAGAGACTTATTTACCTCAACTATTTCAGCAGACCTGTTTGACTTGTTTTGAAGCCCAAGTTTTCGCAAAGCTGACCTTCTTCTGCTACTGGTCACCTCTGCTTGCGAATTTTCTGTCGCGTCACCTACAACATCCTTGAGAGCGTTGTAACTTCCTTCCTTCCCAGCCTCATCTTTTTCCTTCTCTTCCGAGGGTATCGCGCGTGTCGAGTGTCTCGATCGTCTTGATCGTGAGCCGCCAGTTAGTCTCTCTTTTCCGTGATTAGAATTTGATGCATCTTCCAGTGTCTTCTGGTTTTCAACAAGCAACTGTTCGCCTTGATCCTTCATTGCAGTTGCACTTTCACCTTCGTCCGAATTCGACCTCTCTCTCTCTGCTCCTGAATCTTTTTCTATTACCTCTATCGGCAATGACTTGAATTCATTTTCAACGTATGTAGCCTTCTCCGAGTCAGAGGATGGCGGCTTCATATCCGATATTTTAGTTTGCACACAACTCTTGTTGCCTTCAATCTCTGCAGCCCTGCAACCAGTTGCGATTAAAAGATCCATATTTTCGGACCTTTGGGCAGGGGTTTCCTCCTTGCTGGCAAGGTTTACAGCTTCCAAATTTGCAGAATTTTCAGAAGCTTCGAAATCTAGCTTTCTGCTTGTGACTTGCGTGTTTCCTTCAGCACTACAAAAGGATTGAATTTCCCGCGATTCATCAGGTTGCTTCTGAATTAATGACTTGTCTACTTCTATATTCCTTGGCCCAAGGGCAACTTTATCCTCGGCAATCAACGATTTCACAGTCTCCTCTTTTTTCAAACCCATACATCCTCCGTGATCTGTACTCACCGCTAAGTTGACTTGCCCTGAACCTGCTGCCTGTTGTTGTCCGTCCCCTTTTACAGCTATTTCCCCAAAGTCTGCACCTGATGTGTCTCGATCTATCCCGCTGGCTGTCACTGCTAATTTTCTGACACCTCCGCTTGCTCCTGTTGGTGAGCCCTTTGCCAATTCGTCCGCTGTCGCTGCCGCTTTCTGATTTTGTTCTACCTCTGCAATTGCAGACGGATCATTGTCTTCGTTACATGCACTTGCTGCCGCGACATCAACCTGCGCTCCTCCTGCCCCTCCTGCTGCGACTTCATTCGAGGACCCTCCCCCTTCCTCCCCTGCTTCCCGGTCTCTCTCATCCCCTTCCCTTGCTCCATCCTGCTCCGCGCCAGCTTCTCCTGCCCCTGCTGCCGCGACATCAACCTGCGCTCCTCCCGCTCCTCCCGCCCCTCCTGCCCCTCCTGCTGCGACTTCATTCGAGGACCCTCCCCCTTCCTCCCCTGCTTCCCGGTCTCTCTCATCCCCTTCCCTTGCTCCATCCTGCTCCGCGCCAGCTTCTCCTGCCCCTGCTGCCGCGACATCAACCTGCGCTCCTCCCGCTCCTCCTGCCTCTCCTGCCCCTCCTGCTGCGACTTCATTCGAGGACCCTCCCCCTTCCTCCCCTGCTTCCCGGTCTCTCTCATCCCCTTCCCTTGCTCCATCCTGCTCCGCGCCAGCTTCTCCTGCCCCTGCTGCCGCGACATCAACCTGCACTCCTACTCTCGTAATCTCGACTTCCGGGTCTTGACCTGCATTTTCGACCAAATTCAGCTTGTGAGCCTGTTCGGCAGCTGATATCCTATCTTCTCCTTGGATGATTGTGGCAGTTGCGACCTGGGTTGCCTCGTCTGCCTCTGTGTCCTTCTGAATTTCAACAACTCCCCCTCCCTTCAATTCTGCTTCGGACAATTCTTCTCTGAGAGGATTCCCTGCTACTGCATCAATTTTCTGTGTTGTTGTAAATTCGACCTCATTTTTCTCTGTAGTGCCAGCCTCGTGTCCTTGCACCGTGAAAGCCTCTACGTTGTCATTTTCAACCATTGCTGGCTCATGATCTGTTAAATCAGATATACTTTGTTCCACAAAAGTGTCGTGACTGAGCTCATGATCTGGACATGGTTGGAATATTTCTGTTCCGATTTCCGTTTTGCTTGTTGCCGTTCCTGGTACAGTTTTGTTGTCTGGAGTGGAGACACTGCCTTCTATTCCATCCTCGATACGCTTCACCTCACTTGATTCTTGTGATGAGATCTCACTGTTTTCTACATTTTCTTGTTCTATTGATTCAATGTTTTGTCTAAACTCGTTAGATTCCATTCCTAAATTTTTGCTGACTGATTCCGTCCTTTTTTCTGAATTCGTCGCGCTCAATTGTTTTTCTGCATTTTCCGGATGTGAACTGGCGTACTGCGTTCTCTCATCTGAGTGAAGACTGAGAGAAACAATCAAATTCTGATGATGACAATATTTGGAATTTTGACAAATATCAGCGAATCCTTCGTGTTTCAATTGAAAGCTCCACCTGAAAGGATTTATCATGAATACAAATGTATCTCAACACACAAATCACTTTTGAGATACGAACTTGTCATCTTGGTAAGGTACAATGGGATACCATCCAAGGCAAACTTCTCTGTTTTCACTTGTGGTCTTGATGACTGCTTTGACTCGGAAAATCAAAGCGGAAAAGCTAGGAAACCCGATGTTGTCAGAGTGAATTGATTAGATTGTCTTCACTGACCTGCCAGGAATCGTCATGATGTTTACTTGAGCTTGGGAGCTCCAGATGTTGTCTTTAGCTGTCAATCGTAATTCTTTATCCTAAAGAAAAAATCATTTCTAGTTTCCACATCCAAAATCTTACCGCTTTGAATGGCAACATTTTGTGTCCATTATGCACATTTAGCAGAGCATACAGCTCCGCTTCTCCCTCGTATTGATTTTTAGGTTCCTTGAAATACAAAACCTTTGAAAGAGGACCATCCACCGTGATAGATATTTGACGAATAGAAATCTTTGAAAGCTTAACGAGCTCAAGTTTTTGATTGAGACAGTGAGCATCTAGGCCTGGAATCATTGCTCGTATATCATCAGGTAAGTCTATCTTGGAATTGAAATAAGAGCAAAGCTCATTTTCTTTCAAGAGAAGCGATAGTATCTTCATGCATAATATGTCAACCAGCCAAAAGAACAAAACATTAGAGTGAACCTGAAATCTGGGGTAAGAATTCTGGATGAAGCTCTCTAGGTAGACATTGTCCATAGCAATTTTTCGTTTTAAGTTGGTATCAGTTTCGTTCTTGATGAATAAAAGCATCCTTATGATAAATTTCAGATATTTTGAAAAATGACATATTTTGAACCTTGGACTCCCTTTCAGGACAGGAGCGATAGACACAGCATCCGTAAAACCCTGCTTGGGATCTGATACCAATTCAACAATACACCAACCCAGAGAGCATTCTTGGATGTTATGAGAATGATTGTTCTGCGAAGTTGACAACACAAATTCGACAATCACGCGCAACTGCAGGAACGTAAGCAAGGCCAAGTTCTTGTCCACAATGACCTTTGATATATCCTGTAATGTGAAGAACTCGAAACAACTATTCGAATCCAGAGGAAACGATTCTTTAGCCTATCAGGATCTTGTCAATAAATGCGCCCGATTCAAAAGTCTGTCACAGGATCTGGAGGAGGCTTATAGTCTTTGATCTTCACTTTGGGACTTGTCCATGTATTTCCAACGAAGTTTGCATGCATCTATCACTATATCAGCCTGGAAAGACCCTCACTGTCATCACCTCCTTCTCCAGCATGCATAGAGTTGATCGAAAACACAGCCATGCATTATCAGCTCTGCGGAGATAAAGATTATTGCAGCTCAAAAAGTTTGTTTTGATCCGTACCTCCTGATTACTTCATCGTGCTTGATCAACAAGCTAGAGACTGTTCGGAGACAGTAAATCTTTGAAGGACAAGGGGCAGACGGTGAACCTCGTTTAACAGACCCAAGGCGTACACGTACGCAGTTGCCACCATCACCGACTCTGTGAGCTCGCGGCAATGCTGAGACATGTCAAAAGACGAATCTTGGCATCTTAGTCACCTATGACCGAACATGCCCCCGCCAATCTCTGCCATCGCTGCAGCTCAGAAGATTCTCGATCCTGAAGGCATTCCATCACGAGAGTAGCAGGTCAGTTAACAACCTCGAACGCTTCCCCCAAACATTCCTCTTCCCCATGCTCAGACCTGGACTACAGACCTTCCCCCGACCTCTTCACTCTTCCTCCTCCCCTTCTTCTCTTGCCATCCATGACATCACGCCCACCTCCTTCTCCTTGCTCCTCCCTTATCCTCCCCCTTACCATGGTCCTGTTTTGGCGGGAATCCGCCATTTCCCCAAGGTGACAAAGTCTGTCACAGCTTCACTGATATAGTCAATACATACAACACATCCATAGTCAAAAAGTTTCTGAGTGGATCACTCTAAAAAGCCTTGTAGTCAAAATATGATGTTAGTCATTCATTGACTATAAGGATGCATAGAGAAGATAGAGGCATTGAACGATGCCGGAGGGCGAGGAAATGAAGGTGAACAACAAACGACGACGAGGATACCAACAGCAGCAACCATGACAACGACAACAGCCTCGAAGTCAGAAGGTAGAGGGATAAGAGACCGATAGAGATGAAAACAACAATCCATCTCTGCAGAAACCTCGTCCTCGTCGCTTCCTGTTGTCACCTGCTCCATGCGTCGAGCGAAGTTGACTTCAGGAGGTTTCTTTTCATCGTACGCTTAGAGCAGGACTTGAAACACTTTGAGACTTTTAGTCAGATCATGGGACACTCTGATGCATCTTTTGTTAGCATCCTGTGCTCAGAAATCCCGCTCAGTGAGCAAGAGGAGATCACGAAATTGCCCAATATGAATCAGGATGTTTATGCAGCATGCCCGTTGCAATCTTTGAATGAAGCCGCTGTATTTAGATCAACTTCGAAGAATTTCACCGTTTATCGGACATCCAGGTGTTCAAGTGATTTCATTGATCTCCTGTCCTTATTCCTGGTAGTCCACTACTCACGCAGACACTCATTCTTCATCCCCGTCTCGTCGCTTGAGATGGGGGACATCGAAAGATGGAGATCTCTCATACAGCAATTCTATGTAAACTACGCTACGAAGCAAGAAGTTCGTCGCTTTTGGGCCAACTATTCCTCCAACAGCCACCTTCATCGTCTCATAGATGTGCTTGAACAGCGATCATTCACATACAACGCGGAGGATCTCGAACAGGTTTTGAGCGATTGCTCGTCCTCCAAAACACCAAAAGCCAACAAACATTTCGTGTATCTCGCCACAGCAGAGACTAAAGAGGACATCACATTCGAGCTCAACCTTGTAAACGATGACTCCGATGCCCTCTTCTGCATCTGGGGTCAGCCCCCCCCAACCGTGGAACTTGAATGCCAGGAAAAGTGCCATGAAGAGATTCATTATTGCCGACAAGTATGCCGAGATAGATTGGAAACAACACAATCTGTAGATAGACATCCCTTCCAGTACATCTACGTCAGGGGCAGCAGCTTTCAGGAGGGCCGCAACTTCTTACTGCAGGAAGCTCGGCTGAGAGGGAACTACTCATACTTTGTGTTCATGGTGGATGACATGATTGTAAACCATCGGAACTTTCAGACTGGACTCGTCGGACACAGCCCTTTTCGTAAGTTGTTGATCTTGTTGACCTCGTGCGTGATGGTTGAAAGATCCTTGCAGGGACATTTGAGAATTATCTGAGGGTTTGGCAGCCCGCTCTAGCAGTTCCTGGGGCAACAAGGCGAGATGAGGATCACTTGATCGATCCTGCAGGTGATATTGATGTTGGGAAAGCTTTGTTGTGAGGACTTTGAAAGGCGAGATCGTTTCGATCTACGGCTTTGATCACTTATTCATCGCCTTACATCACGATGCCGTTGACCTTCTGCTTCCGTATACCCTCCGATATGAAAACGTCTCGTGGTGGTAGGACTGCTCGTCACTTGTGCGAGCAGTGACTCGTTCTTGCAGGTACAGTGAATATGTGATGAACCTTGTGGCGGCGATGTTCTTTGGTCCTCAGTACGTGGTCCAGATACATGGAACTTGCATTTACTTTTGTCTGCATGACCATGACATTGCCTCGTAGCTGTCTTTGCAGAGACTTTTAACGCGGGATATGTGAACTATCCGCATGAGATTGATTTTGACATCCCTTTGAGCTGGATCATTACAGCTGCGAGGTTTTGTTCTACTCTATGTGTCTTCTGATCTCACAAGAAGGGGCAGGGATAAGAAGAGATTGAATCCCCTCTTTTTCCACGAGCACAATTGTCCGTCCCCAAAGGACTTCCGCTCAAGTAAGTTTCAGACTTGAGGTTCGGCCTCTGAAAGGTCCAAGACCCGCAGATCGGACCGATGACAGGAGGATACGATCAGATCTTAATGGAAGGGAATGTGTTCGACTCTTGTCATCCTTATTTCCGGTTGGTAGCCTCCAGGTGGACTGCAATGTGTGTCATGCACTGATATGCGATACTGATCCTGACTATCTCAGGAGAACGTCTGCGCGTCGCCACAAGGGTCACACAGGACACGCGTGTACAGATGTCGACCTTTCCATTTCCGGCATGTTGGTGGAGCTGATGAAGGAGGAGGAGATTCGCAACGGAACCATCTGCTACTGGTGCATGATGCACCCGAAATCTCCTGAGGTTGTTAGTCTGCTGTGACTTGCACACCGTGACGTTTGTGTAGACTTCAAACTGTGCGAATCATATCACTGGAAGTGAGCTGAAGCTTGCAACCTCAGAAGGAAAGAGAACTTACTCGGGAGAGCAGCAGCTGAGGCTGGGAGTGGATAAGAATGGAAATCTTTTATTTTGACTCAATGGAACAGCGATTTTCAAACTCCCTCAGTACGAGGATTTGACTCCTTGTCAAGCTTCGCCCTCATCTTGTGAAACATTGGGCTGCTCTGAAGAGCGGAAACAATATCCGGCCGACCGTTGAAGGGGCTCGCTAAAGTTGGTGTGTAAGATGGATGCAGTTGGAAGTAGAAATGGGCATACCTGGAGGGTTGCCAGCTCCCTTCAAGGGTGAAGAAGCTTGTTGACCAAAAGGAGGGGGTGGTGGAGCAGGTGGTGGTGGTGGTGGGGCAGGATGCGGAGCAGCAGGAATTGTGCTGGGCTTTGTCATTGAGCTCAACGGATTGGATGAGATGTTTTCTCGATTCTGTGTGCCATTTACCTGTAGGATAGACATGAAATCGCGAGAAAGCATAAGAGTCTTCTCACCTGGTTGATACTGCAAGCATGCCCTTGTGTCGTTGGCTGGCTTGCTGCGTCACCAGCCGCAGGATGTGCTGACGAGGAAGTGATGCCATGCAGGTGGACGTGGATCTCCGTCTTGTCCCTCTGCCGCTCCCCGCCATCTGAGAGCATCCGTGAAGACTCACCGAGGAGTGCTGGAGTGACCCGGACCATGACCTCAGACACGCACCTGTGAAACCTCAAGGCCCCGCCTTTGCAGTCTCATACTCTACCTATCTATCACCTGACTTAAGGCAGAGGAAGCCAATGCAGCAGCAGGATGAGCTCGAGCCGTCCCGTCCTGCGACTTGTGTCTTTTCTTCCGCATCAAGTCGAAATCTCTTGTTGGCCGCGGGGTCGGGGTCGTCTCAGCCAACTCAGTTTGCGTCAGACTCCGCCCGCACTTGCTCTTCCGGTAGCGTGTCGCCCATCCACTTAGCCTGTGAGACTCGATCGCAAGCTGCTCTTGGTTGCAAGATTCCTGACCACCTTGTCCATTCTGCATTTCATGGATTTCAAGGACGTATTCAAGGCAAGGGAACATTTGCTCTCTTCTTACCTTCAGGATGCTGTCCAAGAACTGCGGCGAGCCACGAACAACTTTCATCGAGACTATCTGAAGAACGGAAGACTCCATGTCAGATCTTTGCTCCTTCTTCTCCGACATGCACCTCATCATCCTTGCCAGCCTCTGGCTTCATCAAGTCTATCTGCACGGAGCTTCCATTGGGTCCTCTTAACCATTCTAGAACCTGAGAGGCCTCATGTTCGAGTTCGACTTTTCTAAATAGCAGAATCAGAGCACAGAGACAAGACAAGAGGACTGACCTTGCGTCCACTGAGACTATCCGAGACCCTATGGGAATCTCAGCTCCGCTCCTGCCTATTGGACCGTCCGGAGAAATCGACAAAACTTTTACTGGACCATCGCGTCCGCCGCCTGAGAGGCAAAGACCCACATCTCCATGCCCTGAATCATTCCAGACGTCTCCCTTCTTTTGCTGTCTTGAGATCTCAGTGAAGTTCTCTGCTTGACGGGTGTTGGCTTCCTTTGGTTCCACCTTCGAATTACAAGAGTCCTGCTTGCAATCCAGAACAGCCCGGTTGCACTTACAGTCCGGACATACAGAGCTGGAAATATTTTCATTTGCAAGCTTCTCTAGCTGCTCATGTAGAATTTGAATGGTGCATTCAAGGTCATCAATCTTCTGTGAAACCTCGTTTGTTGGTGTATTTTTGTTTGCTGCACTTTTGCTGCTGTGCGTCCCTTCCCTTTCCTCATCATCAGTCTGAGTCGCGATCTCTTCAGAAGATGGGAGAGATGTCTCCTCCGTCTGCGATCCTTGATCAGACATGTCTGCTGCTCTTTGTTGTGTATTTCGAGTCAACACTTCAGATTTTGCAACCTCGATGGGAATTTGTTGGCAATTGATATTGGAGCTGGATGATTTGGTTCTTGTAGACTGGTGAGGACACAGAAGATGAAAAACAGCATTTTTCAATAGCTGAGCATTGTATCCTGTTCTTTCGCTGCCATAGTCGATCATCTCCTCAAGAATATCGCTTACTAAATCGAGGTCAACACCGGTGTCCAGACCGCTGGTGCAATCATAGTCTGCTTCACAGGAACGAGAGGCTTCAGAACTCATTCTGAGCTGACTTTCACCTTCTCCAGCGAGATTGCTGCGACTGATCGCTTCTGTTTCGTCCTCTCCTTCCCTTGGTTCGCTGCATCCCCCCTCCACCATTTCCCACGCCAATTCGAACTACTAAAATGAGCCTCATCCCCACACTCAGCGGACGTTTTGAGCAGCACCAGAGCAGCTGTTTGAGCAGGATGAACAAGGGTTGAAGAACTTGGCTCGCCCACTCCAGGCATGGCGGAAGGGGAACTGCAGGGAGCCGTGGGAAGTTCGAGCTGGATGGCGACGATGGAAGTCTTGCTACGATATCGGAGAAGACGAAGAGGTCACGGGAGTGTGACACAGAAGGGATGGGATGATGGCATATGGAAGGAGTTGGGCGAGGGCTTGCGAGCAGCCCTAGACAAGAACTCGTCGTCATCTGTTGCAATGATAATGGCGACGCTCATGTCCATGTCCTGTGAAGAAGAAAGAGACTCTTGGGAACATGCTTGTACGAAGCTGTGTCATGGTTATCTTGGTATTGATGCCAATTTGATAAAGAAATTTCTTGCCCCTGACGAAGACAGGAAGCAGCTGGATCGATGGCGATCAGAATTTCTCTTTCTCAGGAAGATGATGGTTGATGATCAAATATCCATCCATGATCCGATGCCTTTCCTGGAAGTTGAAGTTGAAGTTGAAGTTGAATCGAACCAACGTTCTCAACCTAAGAATGACAAATTAAAGAAACTGCAGGACAGGATGAGATCAAAGAACAACCAAAGTCTACCTCCCCTACACCCGAAGGCTGCAGGCTATCCCCCGTTATGTGTTGCTGCGCAGCAAGGCAGGCTTGAGATGGTGGTTCTGCTGCTAGTCAGGTAGCGCTCAATCTCGATTCAAGATTTTTTTGATCTAGGTTGCAGCGGAGCGAGGTCGACTTGTCCTTGCAAGATAACCGCCGCACCGACTGCCCTGCACCTCGCAGCTTCAGGTGGATTTTCAGATGTGTCAGCAGCATTGCGAGCAGCCAACGGCGTAGAAAGAAGCGAAGAAAGAAGCGAAGATTCCATCGAGGATGGTAGGGCCAGGAGCTTGAAAGTTTAGTTTGTGATACATTTGACAGCATCATTGAAGAGGGAAAGGCAATTGGATACGTATCATGATGCTCGTGGACATACTCCTTTGCAGATTGCAGTTCGAGCAGGATGGTTCAAGTTGGTGAAAGAGCTCATGTGCCAGTGCGGTGATTGCTATCAGATGGAAGGATGGGGAACAGATTCTACGTTCTATGTCTGCCCCTCTGAGAGAACTTACAGCGTTCCAGAGGATTCTGAACGTCTTGTCAGTGTGTTTCAACGGGCTGCTGACATCTGGGAGGAGAATTGCGGGCGCAAACTGTTCAGCGTAGGTCATAACACGAACGTTAGGAACTCTCCCGGGCAAACCAGAGAAGAGATGTCGCAACACACGTACTCCATCGAAGTTGACTTTGGAGAATGGAATGTCAAGAACGGTTATACTTCACCATCTGTCAAACCGAATCGATGGCCTCTCAAGCGATGCGGCGCGAAAGTTTTCCTCCGCAAACGTCGAGCTGAAGAAGTATTCCCTAGATCAGTCGAAGACGCGCTGGTTGCCACGGCCTGCCATGAGCTTGGTCACGTTGTAGGTAAGCTCTTCCTCTTCCTCTTCCTCTTCCTCTTCCTCTTCCTCTTCCTCTTCCTCTTCCTCTTCGTATGGATGCGCTTTGACGGAGCTTGAAGGGCTGCCGCATCATCCTGATCCTGAAGAGTTGATGTACTTCCTCGGCCTCCCCCTAGGGCACGGACAAGGATGCAAGGGACACAACTTCGGTCGAGACTGGTAAAGTCTTGAGTCTCCTCGCTGCGCATGATTTCTTGGATAGTACCGCAGCTATCCGATGGCTTTACAATCCATGTCTCAAGACAGCTGTCAGCTCAGTCGGCTATCCCACAATCTGCCTCAAGTGCTTCGCTCCTGGTTGGTGGAATGTGCGCGACCGCGGAAAGTTCTTGTCTGTGAGTCCTCAATTGTTTGCTTCAAAGGTTTGAGAAATGCGTCGTCTCAGTATTCTTTCTTGATTTCTTGCTGAATTGATAGGCGAAGCCAAGACGGAATCCTTCAACGAAGAGACAGGTGGAGATCCTAGAAGATGGTTCGACCAGGCTGCTAACAACATCCACTGTGTGTTCTTGTTTCTCTTTTTGTTCAAGATTTCTTGACACTTCATTGAATCCAAGGTTGACGACGTTGATGAATTCACAGAACTCTGAAAATATTAGCCCATAGATCTTGTCTCCTGCATTGAATGTATTTCTTGGTGATCACAGTCAGTCGTCGTGAAGCCTCAAAGATGATGCATCGATTTTCAAACGCAAGGTTGCAACACTTTGATCTCGTAAGAGCGTTCAGACTTGAAAAAGATCTCTTGTGTCAGCTGTCACTGAGGACTGATTCTGTTCGACCTAGATCCTCAAGATGCCTCGCCGATTCTTTCTGTATCAATTCAGAGATTTTCATTCTTACATTGGATGCCGGGAGGAGTCAAGGAATTTCAATCGGAGATTGTTCTCAATACATAACCGACCAAAAGCCTACGCGCAGAACTCCACATATTCGAATTATCCAGTCGTTATACTGTTGTTGGGGTAGAATTCAAGGTTCTTTCGAAACTAGGCTCAGAGTTACATGACCGAGTTTAAGTAATGTTCGAATCTAAGTTTGTCACCAGTCTGGTGTTTCGAAGAAGCTTGACTGCTGAGCATGTAACTTGCTCCAGGAAGTCATGGTTCGACCTTGCCTTCCAGCCCCAAACCTCAAACACAAGCGGAGTGTCAAGTTTGCACAAGTTCAACACATGCATAGGGATTTCTATTGGCTTGAAGGTAGGATCTTTCGAGTCTTTCACGACTTCGGTCTAAAAGACATCTTCAAGCTCGCGATCTTGGCACTGTCTTCGAAATTTGACGTAGTGGTATCCTATTCCAACCCAGTCTTGGTTCTCAGCCCTGTTCCACTGATCACGAATCGCAGCGCGTCATACCGAGCCTGCGATTCTTCCGCAAGAACTTTGATGGAACCACAGTTTGATTTGGTCTGCCATTTATATTTTGCGATGTGCTTACAAACCAGGAGCCAGCCGATCCTACTATTGTTCCCATAGTAGTCTCGACGAATCCAAGAGAATCGGCGATCGTCAAGCTCTGGTCTGGTGAATCCACATCGTAAACCAAGAACCTCATCATGAAAATCCTGCGCTCTGGAGGTCAAATTTGACCAGGCACTTGTTTACTACAGGACCCGCACTGTCATTCTGGTGGTGAATGTATGGTCAAATTTGACAAGCAGCTGGGCTCCATCATTTTACTACACAACGGTCAAAAGCACAACTTTTGGCGGCTCGGTAGTATATCGCTTACAGGTAGCCTAGCAGCAGCGCGAACCTGCCGTTGCCCCTTGATGAGCGCACAGGCGAGTCTTGCATATTCCATTCCTCCCTTCGGCATCAACCCGCCCAAACCATTTGCAACAGAGAACAAAGTTGTGAATGAGCGGGAGCAATACATCCCCCTTCTTCAGTTCATGAATGTGCTTTCATCGTCAACCAGGTTTCGACATGGTGTGTTCAGGCTCTGTTTTTACTTGGTTTACGCTGCTACCTTCATTTTCATCATGGTCCTGGAGGTAACAAACGGTTTCGGCCCCCCTCACTGCGGTGGAACAGGACAGTGCTTGCCTTATTCAGTCTGGGACCAGCACCTTTACATGCAATCAATCAAGGATTCCTTGTACGAAACTTCCTGGGATCCTGCAAATTTAGTGAACAACATCTATGACATGCAAACATTTGATGATTTGAAGAGCTGGATAACCAAGGTCTATGTTCCAACTCTTTGGCCTTCGAATGGAAATGCAACCATTCCTTACTATGGCAGGGTGCCTGTCGATCCGATTGTTGTCAAATTCTCAGTGCGGCAGGAAAACTTATGCAGTGACAATCAGGGGTTTGACTTCTCCAACAAGCGTTGCCTGGGACATTTGAGAACACAATCGTTTGGACCTCCCGAGGATTCAGAAAGATGGCGCCAGAGCAACCAAGACGCAGCCCAACCAGGTTACTACGCTCTCTTAGCCTGGCGAGATCGGTTCTTTACAAAAGCAGTGAAGAAAGTCTCAGCTGACGGCTATGTCTCTTATCATGTCCCCTTATACAATCCTGGGTTTTCTCCTCGATTTGGAAATTTGAGCCAAGTAAGAGTTTGGAATGTTTCAACGGCTGAACAAGCCCTCAATTTCTTCGCTATGGCTGAGACTGACGGCCTTTTTACGCACAAGACGTCAAGTTTGTCTATGTGGACGACTTTCTACTTTCCAACCACGGACATAACAACGGTCGTGAGGAGCGTGTTTGAAATCCACGATTCAGGCAGAGCTTCAATTTGTGAGGACACTTGGCTCTGCGCTGACTATGGAGCATTGATCTGGACTCGCGACTTTAGGCGCATGTATTCGAGTGGAAATGGAATTGCTAGGCTGGTCCTTGAAATCGTTTTCCTCACACTCACACTCATTCAACTTTTCCGCGAATTGAGACAATTCTACTACTCCCCCGTGATCATGGGATCGCGGTCTGCTTACGTTCTGGGTACAGGTGGTTTTTGGAACTTTCTGGATCTAATCTGTTTCATGTTCATCGCTCCAATCTACTTCTTGAAGATCCTCATGTACGTCACTTCATCTGAAGACCCTGAAAGTCCACAAAGATTCTGGGCTGCCAGTTTGCCGGTTGTCCTGTGGTCATTTCATAGCGGTCTCACAGGATGGCTCCAGCTCTTTTTGATTTTTCGGTTTTTCAAGTATCTGGAGTTCAGCAACGCTCTCGGTATTGTCGGCGATACTTTCCAGAAAGCTGCCAAAGATCTTGTAATTTTTCTCTTCGTGTTTTTTCTTGTCATTGTTGCCTATTCATATGCTGGTTATTACTTCTACAGAGGTAGGATGTATGAGTTCAGCACCGTTCCCAAGTCTGTAAACACAGTGTTTAGCATAATGTTTGGTCAAGTGGATTTTCAAAGCTTTGGATTCAATACGGACACATCTCTGGGATCTTTCTCTATAGCATTTTTATGGTCCATCACGATTTTGGTCTATCTCATTTTAATCAACATGTTTCTTGCCATAATCTTGAGTGCTTTTGACATGATCCGAGAAGATTTGAAGCGTTATCGGCTTGAGAGACTTCAAGGAAACAAGTATGTCCCCCCGGGAATGACAATTTTAGAGTTCTTTTTGCCTTTATTAACCATTGCAAGGTCAATGAGGAAAATCAAGAGAGTTTACAGTCACTTTCGTCAATACGGGTTTGAGCTGGGGTTCTTGTCAACTGAATTTTTCCCGGAAGGAATGGTGATGAGGATGTTGCTTGACGCTCAGATCATGTCTGCCCGTAGGCCGCCGCTCATATCAAGGGTGCTGGGCTACAACTCCTCAAGGCAAGAGTTTCTGATTGAGTGGAAGGGAGACAAGACCTGGTGGAGCACACATCCCAAGTTGATGTCATACCAGCCCGTCTGGCTCAGCAAAGCAGAGATCATGGCGATCAAGGAGTCAAGCCACTCTGATAGGAGCGAGATCTTAGAGATAGACTCCGACAAACTGATTTCGTGGGAGTCTCGTTACATTCTCACTAGGCGGGTGCTCACTCGCCAGGCCAAGGACGATCTCAAGCGGCTCGTCAACGTCCCTGATATCTACGATGACACTTTCTGGACGCGGGGCAACGCAAACTTGATCGCCTACAGCGTGAATATGGATCCAGATTACCTGGAAACCAAGCATTACTACCTGGCAGGAGAAAGGACCAGGACCTCTCAAGATGAGCGTGAAAGGCTGCGCATGAAATTAGAAACAGGAAACAAACTGACAGTGAACGAGCTAGAGGCATTGTTCATCAAGCATTTGATGCCAACAGCAGCACGTCAGAAGATTGAAGAAAAGTTGCAAGAAGACAGAGATGGATTGAATCAAATGCTGTCAAACAACTTTCTTCATTTCAGAATCAAACGTCTCGTGGAAGCAATCAGTGAGAGTGGCTCAGAGGTCAATGAATGCGGACTGACAAGCGAGGAAGCCACTGAACTGATTGATGAAAGCAAGCAATGGACCAGAACAATCTTCAACAAGTTTGGTACCAGAAGGCACATAAGCGACTTTCCAAACAGTCTCGGGGCTCTCGGAATCGAAGAATATGAGCGAAATGCAAATGACGAGAATTATCAGTTTGCGTATAGCCTTGGAGGTGATGACGATTTGACCGATATCTCGCTCAAGCAAGTGATGAAAGGCATCAAAAAACTTCAGCAACAGATGAAGGAGTTGAGTAGTGGACCCAAACTTGCTGCAACGCAGCAAAGTAACTAGGGAAAAATGATCTCAACATCAAGAGTGTGCAGGTCCAGAGATTGAATTGATAGCTTCAAATCTTTTGTTTTGAAAGTGAAGTGAAGATGCAGTCCCTATCTGATGATCACAACCCTGATTTTCATATCTTGATTTCAACGTACTAGTTGAAAAAATAGCAGGCTATCACTGGGTGATCACGTATGAGTGATGCCTTACAAGCCCATGGATTTGACTGTCATGGTGAGAATGTAGATGCAGGTGTTTCTTGCCTGAACAGTTGTGATCATCAATGTTGTTTGCGCGCAATCTTGATTCAATGATTGTCACTTCAAACACTGAGGGATATGATCCTCAATGTTTCCGAGGAAGAGTAAGAAAAACAAGGCAAACAAGCCCCATCACTTCACGCATTGACTACCTCTAGCTAGTGTTCGAGCCTGTTGGCCCGGTGCCGGGTCTCGTCCGCCTCGTGGCTATCGTAAATGTATTGACTGAAAAAGAAGGGCAAACCGGAGCAAACAAAGGAGGGGGAGGATAAAGCCTACAAACCCGCCTCAATAAAATACTAGGCTATCAATGGTGTTTTCCGGTTATGCCTCAGAGTTGCTATGGTAGGCAGAATCATCTAATTAAAGCCGTCACTATCAGCAACTCTCGTCGTCACATGTTTCGGCCCGACCGTTGACAGGCATGGCAGGCAAGAGGGCGACAGCCATGGCGATGCTGGGGTTGGAAGAAGAGCAGCTGCAGGAGGAGCAGAAAGTCAGAAGCCGACTGGAAAGGCTGAAGCAACTCAAGGAAGGAGGAGTCTTCACCACGGAAGAGTATGAGAACAAGGTGCAGGAGACGACAGGGGTGAAAGTCGAGCAGGTGGATGAGTTTCTCAAGGCGAAGCGAAGGGAGAAAGAAGACCTCGAAGAGGAAATTAGCTTAACAGTCAAGGAGTTGGACGATATCGAGGCTGGCATCTACCCCCTTCCAAGAGGATTGACGGAAGAAATACTGTCTAGCAAATACTTTCAAGAAGTCTGCAAGGCGTATGGTACGAGCTGTCGGGATCTTTGCGATGCAGAATTGAAACGAGCAGAGTACGAACGTTTGTTGAGAATATGGGGAAAGAAACGAATAAGTGACGAAAAGTTCGCGCTCAAGGTACAGACACTTTTAAACTGCGGAACAGAATCTGCAGAAACAGTTCTCAAGGGAATGTTGCTCTCCAAGGAAGAATTGATTCAGAAGGTATTGGAGTCCACAAGAGCATCATTCCAAAAAGAAATTCAGAAGGACGAAAATCTACAGAGATCGAACCAGAAGAGAGACGAATTCTTGCGAGGCTTTCAAAGCAAGATTGATGCTGCGATAAAGAAAGAGAGAACCAAGGCAGAGCAAACTGTCAATCGGAAACGAGCGGTCCTCGAGCAGTTGCTGGTAGATCGAGGTATTCCATCATCTTGCATCATCTTTCCTGGACTGATCTACTTCTAGCCATTCAAGATCAAGTTTCCACCATGCTCGACCACAGCGATCACATCGACCGATGCCCTTCTCCTGTCTTGAAGAAAACTTCTCAACTCACCACTGGCCTCGTGCCAAAGTTCCTGGCTGCGGTGGAGAGGAAACGATTGTTTCTCAAAGGCATCCAAGACAGAGCAAGGTCTCCTACATGCAGAACAAGTGGAATTCCAAGCACTCACCTTGAAAGGATGAATGCTGTGAAAGAAAGGAGGGAACGAATGGAAGAAATCAGAAGCTCTGAAATACGCAGAAAGCAGGAATCGAAATTGCGAACTGCAGATGAGGCGCTCAGAAAGCTGGCTTTGAAAAACGAGGAAAGAATCAAGATGTCACACTTCAAAGAAGCTGAAAACCAAGCCAAGAAAGCGAAACTGAGGTTTGCATACCAGCACAAGCTATCATCTCACATTTGATTGAACAAAGGATTGAAGACAATCATCGTCAGAATTACATAATGAACAAGATTAAAGACAACGACTCAAGAATCTCAGAGTAAGTAACTTCTCAACCTTGCATCGATGTGCTTTTGATTGATTTTTTCAGAATGAATTTTTTGAAAGCCAGGAAGCAAGTAGAGATAGCGAATATACAAGCCGAATTGAGGCAGCAGGAGAAGGTCTTGGATGAGCTCATTGCACGAGCTCGGCTTCAAACAGGATATGATGTACCGAGTTCGTTTCTTCTTAAAGTTCCAACCTGATCAGCTAGGCAGCAAGTAAAGAGCTTCGTGGAGAAGAAGGGAATCACTCTCGACGCAGAGAGGTTGCAAAGCATGATACTGAATCAGACGAGACGGCTGGTAAGATCGTCTGCAGTGAGATGACTTCTGACTGCATGAAGTTTACGGAAGTTGGCTCCATTTCGCCTCCCAAGATAGATGTAATTTTTTCATTGTTTGTGTCACGCGTCTTGATCGTTGATAGTATGCTCCTCCGAAGCCGAAGCTCTCTACATGCATGAGACCCAAGAGTGCTCCGACAGGTTCTCGACCTCCTGCTTCCCTCAGAGCTCAAACATCACAGGCCACAAGGTTGCCGACCTCCGTACAAGAGAAGCGGCTGAGCCAGAAAGATCTCGCAGACCTGCGACGGCCTTGAAGCAGTAAGACCTGCGAGAGACAAGAAGTTTGTTGACGGGTCTGCTCCTGTTGAAGGGCTCCAAGCAAAACCCCGAAGAAGTTTTATTGGAGACGAGACCCGCTGCGAATCTCATCACCTGTTAAGGTAAGCGTCATAGTGATTTTAGAACCTGCTCGAGATGTTACCTGTGTGCACAATCAGCCCGAGTCAGCCGCAAATCTAGACGAGTAAGTTATGAGGTCAAAGTGACGTCAATGGCTGAAATTAAGAGCAGCAGGACTCAAGGGAATGCCTGGACGCAGGAAGAGAATCTAGAAGCTTTAAAACGACAGTCAGGAAGAGCGCTGTACTTGGAAGTCGTAAAAGAGCAGGTTGCCTCGAAGAGTTTGAATTGCAGTTGGATTTCTAAAGCTTCGTTGTAGCAACTGGAACAGAGGAGGAAGGAAGCCTTGCACTACGTGAAAGCCAATCGTAGGAAGGACCTGGAGAGGTGAAGGAGGTTTGTAGTGTTTTGTTGGGTTAGTCTGGAACAGAACGCTTGCGGAAGAACGGATGCAGGCATCGGAACGGATCATGCACTTAGCGACACAGAAAGAAATTGAAATCCTGCAGGTAAGCAATTAACAGCAGGTTTGCCATCATCACACGATCCTCAGGAAATGCTGAAACTAGCGGATGAGACCCATCAAGAACTTCAAGAGCACAACCACCCATCGGACATACAAGAGATCACAGGGGAATGTCACGCCCAGGCAGAACGATAGTTCTGTATCTGACCCCTGCAGAAACAAAGAAAGAGCAATCTATGAAGCACTCAAAAGATGGAGCCAACTGAAGCAGCAACTTGCGTGAGATCAGAGATCTTTCCTTTACTTTCTTTCAACTCCTAGTCTGTCAGCACCGAAAGCATGGCAACATTTTTCTGTATAGTGAATGGAAATTAGCTTACATCTTCCAGTTGAGGAAGCGGCAAGTAACGCAAGAGTTGAGGTTTTGATCGGTGGGCCCTGCAACGGGAGGGAATGTGAGTAACAAGATGCGACCCCGAGGTACAATCTCACCCTCCCAAACGACGTCGCTTCCATTGCCAGTGCTGTAGCTGGGGTACTGGAGGTCTTCCACCGAGTTGTTGCAGACGAAGAATCCGCTGTTGTTCACAGTGCATTGGGTGATGCCTGGGGTGTCCATGCCGGTAATCCCGGCAACGGAGGAGCTGAAGAGCATCGGCGCATTTCTGACAACACTAACGAGCATCCTACATTCAAGAACGAATTCGTCACAAGAACACACTTAATCATTATATATTCATCGTCATGCAGACGATTTCGTGTCTTACACATGAACTCATGGAATACCGTACGAGTACTGTATGGATTTTGAACCAAATGCCGAAAAACTATCTACAATCTATGTCCCAACAAGCTGTTATTCAGAACAGCCAGCAATAAAATACCTAATACAATCTTTGTAGTGCTAACAAACAACAAAACGGCATTGGGCACATTTCACAACACGATACTTTCTGCCTATAGTTCTGTAACGATCAGTGTTTCCGAGCAATCGCAGAACAAATTAGTGTGTTTCGACATTGCTCTTCAGACGAGCATGCATTGAAAAAAAACCCTTGTCGTGTGCCATAATTAACGCCTTACAATACATCAAACTTCGACTACATTCTTTTCTTTCCCATTGTTCTTGATCTGCTCATTCCATCCTTACTGCCGAAACTCCTTAGCTTTTGTGCACCTGCTCGGACTCCTCTGAGGCCTTCTTCATGTGTAAGAATCTAACTCTTCGCAATCACTTCACGTCTCGATCCTGTCTGCCTCCTGCCCTCCCCGCCCCGCATGTCGTCTGCTTCGTCTCCTGTTCGAGCCATGGATGCGAAGAGACACGGCTTGTCTGTGGGAAAGATATCAGGGGGTTATTTGCTCTACCCGACCTTTTCCTAGGATACTAGCCTTCTAGTACCCGGTACTTGTCTGCAATTTCTGAATATCCCACCGGTGGTATTTTCACCACCCTACCTCTGGAGCTGGGCCCGCCTCGCCACCCGGAACCGGTGCGGCGGCCCACGATCACCATTCGGAAGGCTTCGGTTCTCCCGCCAATAAAGTTGGCGACCACCCCACCCGCCGTTATCCCAGCATGATCCAGTCATCCCACCCCGTCCTTCGACCACCGATGGCCACACAGGCATGGCGGGAAGCACAGGGCGATGTAGATGTGAGGGAAGGGCATGGAGTAACGAAGGAAGACAGAGAAGAGAGGCAGACAGTAGGCAAGTGGGTAGAAGCCTCACGGAGAGGGACAGGCACAGGAAAGGCACCTAAGAAAATTAAGTTTCAGGACTGCAAAGTGATGTTTCATGATACACAAACGATACAAGGGATATGCCTTATGCATCTACCTACTACGAGGTTACTGAGACTGCTTGATGCTGTTCTGATCCAATACACCCTTCCACTGAAGATTCACCATGATGAATGTCTTGTTCTTACCTAGCACTCGTACTGATTGGACACAGGTTTACAAAAAACATGAATCAGCTGCCCCCGCATGTCCTCGAGAGGATCAACGAGAACAGATTAAAGGCTATTGAACGGAAGCGAAAGCTGGAGGAGCAGCGAGCCAAGGATAATGAATTGCATGCAAAGCAGATGGAAAATGTGCACGAAGCTCAATCAAAGAAAGCTCGCAAGTCGTCGAAAACGTCTGACTACAGAAAAAAAAACAAGAAAGGGGATGTGGAGTTGCTATCTGATGAGCAGAGGGCTGTATATGATCAGGTCATGGGCGGCAAAAGCGCCTTTATTACAGGATGTGGTGGTACTGGCAAATCACATTTGATGCATTCAGTCATCTCGGGTCTGCGTGACAAAGTTGGAAAGAGTGCTGTTGCTGTTACTGCAACAACAGGGATAGCAGCTACACATATTGGAGGCAGCAGTCTACATTCCTTCGCTGGTATCGGCATTGGCGAAGGATCATTACAGGATCTAGTTAAGAAGGTGAACAATAATCGAAATGCAAGGAAAAGATGGCACGAGACGAAATGTTTGATCATAGACGAAGTTTCAATGCTCGATGCTGAGCTCTTTGATAAGCTTGAAGGCATCGCTGCGCAAGTACGGAATTCGAAGAAGCCTTTTGGGGGCATTCAACTTCTTCTGGTATGCATTCTCTCGGTTTTGTTTTTTCAGATTTCAAGTAAAAGCTTGCGAAAGTAATTTTCGTCTTGATAGGTCGGCGATTTCTTGCAGCTTCCACCAGTTGCTAAGAATGGGAAGCAAGTGATACGATCTTGACTGATATGTTTGCTGCTCAAATCTGAAACAGGTCAAGTTTTGCTTTGAATCTGATGCATGGAACAAGTGCGTGGATGTTCACGTTGAACTTACCAAGGTTCGAAATTTTCCTTGAACTTGGCTTCTTGAACAATCTTCCTTTCATTCCGAGTCTTGATCTTGACTAGGTATTCCGTCAGTCTGAGAAAGAATTTGTGGATATGCTGTGAGCCTTTCTGTTTACTGTTATGCTATTCTTGATGTTCAACTGTCAGGAATTCAATTCGCTGGGGAGTTTGCACACCTGAGATCACAACAAAGCTAAGAGCGACCATGTCTAACAAAATTGATGGTGAGATCAGTGCGACAAAGCTCTACAGCAGGAATATGCAAGTATTCTCGATCTTTTCCAGCTCTGGTTCTTGGCTGATGCGATTAACAGGTAGATGAAATCAACTCTAGAAGCCTTGCTTTACTTAACTCCCAAACACTGGTATGTTTTCATTTCATCTCATGAAGCTCCTAGGTGTTACTGGAGCATTATTATCCTCACAATCGCCTGGTTGATCGAATTCTTTTTAACATGCTGTTTGTCATACAGAAGTTGACAGCTTCAGATTCGGGTGAGCAGCCTTGGCTTGACCAGCTCAAGAAGAATTGTACCCTGGAATGTCTGACAACGCGAGGAATTGATTGGTATTTTCTAGGCCTCGCTCCAGAGGTTTTGGAATTGAAGGTTGGTGCGCAAGTGATGTTGCTGAAGAATTTAGATACCGAGATGTAAGGATATTCCGCTGTCATCTTAGCATGACTCATGCATTCTCCAGGGGCTTGATCAATGGATTGCGAGGTGTCGTAATAGAATTTAGGAAGATAGAAGATCCTGAAGAAGGCAGGATTGGAACTTTTCCGGTGTGTATGGATGCATGATGCATTTTCTCTGTTTTCTCTTAGAATCGGTCGTAGGTCGTTCGATTTGAAACCACTTCAATGGACGAGATCGAGGTTGTGATATACCCAGAAGATTTCAACGTCGAAGCAAATGGAGTGGTGAGGGTGCTCTTCTGTCTCTTTCGCTCTTGACGTTGTTGGCAGGTCATAGCAAGGCGAACTCAAGTCCCCCTTCGTCTAGCGTACGCTATCACGATTCACAAGTGCCAAGGGATGACTTTGTCAAAGGTCTGTGCGACCTTCACCACGCTCTTTGCTTAGGATTCACTAGATTGGCAAATTACAGGTGGAAATGAGCCTCAAAGACGTGTTCGAGCCTGGTCAGGTCTAGTTTGCACTCTCCTTGAAGGAAGAGGTGGACTGACTTGTTCTTTGTCAAGGCTTATGTGGCTCTCTCGAGGGTTTCATCCCTAGATGGTTTGAGGCTCCTCGACTTCGCTCCCAGCAACGTCCGTGCACATCCTCGGGTACCCGACAAGTCTGCTCTTGCTGCCGTATTGTGATTGATGGGAGCAGGTCATTGAGTTCTATACCAAGATGCGTAACAAGTCGGATGAGAGCAAGCGGAATAATGGGTCGCGGGTCAATCCTCTCTTCATCGACGATTGAGACGCCTTGAAAGGGGAAAACATTTCGACGGGCGATTTTGATCACAAAATTGTGTAATATGATGCATTTGCGAAATAATATCGCACTTTACTTGCTGATTTCACCTTATGCAATGTAAGACAACATCGAAGAATGTGTTGACAAGAAAATTTTCATTCCAGCACACATTATGCAAGTGTACAGAAGCAGATAGGGAAGACCGATCTCTTTCACCACAAATGCTTTCGTTCAGCTTCTCCTCCTCCATTTTACAAGTTGATTCAAATTTCGATTTTGGGATGGTTGACATAAGCTAAGATAGCAAAGGATACTTTCAAAATGTTGGATTCTGAATTTCTCTCTACCATCAAAGCGCAAGATCAAATAAGTGATGTACATTCTCTTGGAAGCGTGTGCACTCGTCCCGCATCTGTATGATCTTGTTCCTTATCTGCTCGACATTCTAGAGTATATCTCTCAGTTGGCTCACACATGCTATGCTTGTATTTCACCGTGGTTTCTAGCAGCACTCTCCCTTTCTTCAGGTCATCAGCCCTTTCCCGCGACAATCCAAGGAGCGTCTTCTTCGTTGGGTTCTCACCCGACGTGTCCTGTTGCATCCGGGAGTCACAAGTGTCCTGGTTGCTTCCTGTTGAGTCGAAGACCCCAGGCTCGCAAAGCTCACCTGCTCCTTGGAAGGCGAGCGTGGGCTTTCGAAGGACTTAGATATGATCTCTGTTATTTCTTTGTCTGATAGCTCTTCCTCGTTGTAGCCTCCCTTATGAGCATTCGTGAGTCCTCGGGGACAAAGAAAGAGATGTCTGGCTAACAATGTTAGAAGCTTTTGAAGACTAGGTTGCTCTTCAGAGCTAGACAACGTCAGCAGGTGTTCCAGATGCACTTGCTCTTGAAAGGCAAAGATCACAAGTGCATGGAAGTCGATGAAGTCGCTAGACTTCTCAGCGCTCTTAGTCGTGTTGTTTTCCTCTGCTTGACCGACATCGGCATCCAATAATCCCTTGAGGTCAACCGAGATGTAGGGAATACGCTGATAGAACATGAGAGCTATGTTCGCCAATTCCTCTACAACTCCATCGAACCCTCGCATTACGGACACGTTCATCAGCTGATTTATCATCGCTTGCTTGCTGTATCTGCATCGCTTATCGGCTTGAGAGCTTGCTTGATAGGCATTCATGTTGGGCAGCAGAGCTCCTATCCGACAGAGAAAGCGGCAGATGCCCTTGAGATCTGAGGATTGATACAGGGCTTTGAGAAGCTTCTCCGCAAACGAGTACGCAGTGAGATGAAAGCCTTGTCCCGCATGCTCACAGTTTGGCCGTGATCTGCACGTCTGCATAGCTTCACCGTCTACCCACAAGTACGGTTTGTTCGGTCGAAAGGTCCCGATGAACAGTAGGGAGCCTTTCGAGCTAGTTGAGTACTGCCATGCTTTCTGGCTGACAGAGACCTTGAAGTCCGGGAGAATGTTGGTGATGACAGGAGGCTGCTCGAGGAATTGTCTCTTGTGATCAACAAGGTTTCCTATGAAGAACTTGTTCTGAAAGATCACCTCCATCTCAGTGCCGCAGGATTGATTGCGCTGGATGAAGACCACCTGCAAGCTCGTCAGTCTCTACTCTCATGTGCTGAACTCTGCGCAAATGCCTGTCTGGCCTTGATGGGACATATGATGTTGAAGGCAAGCGCTAGATCATCGAAGGTGGTGACGTCATCAGCTGTCAGCCTGGCAGTGCGGTAGGAGAGCTCACGCTCTGAGACCACTGCTTCTCTTCTATCGCATCGTATCAGAGCAACGCTTGAGTCCTCTGCTCCAACGGCGTGGATTTGCTTGAGGAAGGGAAGGATCGCCTGGTCTAAAGAGACATCGAAATAGTGCTGAATCTTAGGATCGAACAAAACAGAGGAATCTTCGAGATAGCATAGAATGAGCATCGTGGGTCGTCTAGAACTCTGTGGGTCTGTAGTTTGATTTCTTGGCGTAGGTTCTTCTGCATTAGTCGGAGGCCAGTCAGATTCACATTCTTCTTTCACACAACTCAAGATAATTGTGGAATGAATTTCCTCGATGCCAAGGTCTTCATACGTGTTGTCTTCATGCTCCTCACTGCATTCTACTTCGTACGCAACCCCTGCCATTTTGGGTTAATGATCCAGCAAAGGATCAGCAGGCAACAAATCATTGTAAAATTTACTCACATTTACCGTACTACCAGGCTGTTTCACTTAAGTTTGAGTAAAGGCCGCTGTACGGTCAATTATTCCGACTGTTCGGACTGCCGGGCCAGCCGGGCCGCCGGCCGCCCGGCCGGGCACCATTGCTGCCGCGCAGTGCCGGACTCCCGCGGGACGCCCTGATGCCATAATATGACGGTACGCTCAGAGCGTTCAACTGAAAACTCCTCACTTTGAGTAAAAGGCACATTCGGTGCTCCGTACCGCCGTACGCCGCCGGGCCGGGTGGCACGCGGCCCGGCGGCCCGGCACTGCACCGTGAGCCTCCGAGCGCCGGGCTCAGTCAGTCCGTCCGGTCACGGTGGACCGCCGGTTCAAGTCCGAAGTTAACTGGCCCGACAGGATAACAAGAAAACCTGAGGAGGGGACGGAGGAGGAGGAGGATGAAGCGAAGCTGCTTGTGGCTTATCTGGTTGCTACTGACAGTGAGAGGAGACGACGAGCATGCTTCTGTCACTTGTGGTTCTTGTGTCTTCCATGTCTCAGGAGCTGGTGAACTGACCAGGACGGGAAGCTGTGGAGAGGGTTGTACAGCCTTATCTCTGAGCTCGCGAAAGATTCAGAAGTTTTCAGCGGAAGTTTTCAGAGAGGGCATGCCGGCACTGACCTATCTTTCACTTAGCAACAACAAGATCTCCAGCCTCCCATCCGGTGTGTTTGATGACCTCAAGAGCTTGACTTATTTATCTCTCGAGCAAAACAATCTCACCCACGTTCCCGAGAGATTGCTCGGTGACCTGGGAAACCTACAAGTAGTCGTTCTAGACCTCAACCAAATTTCAAGTCTGCCTGAGAGAGTCTTTCAAGGGCTCTGGCACTTGCAGGCTGTTCTTCTCCAGCATAATCAGCTCACAACGCTCCCGGAAGACATATTCGAGGACCTTAGGGACCTGAAGCAGATTTGGTTGGCGGGGAACAAACTCTCATTCCTTCCTGCCCGTACGTTCCACGCACTTTCAAACTTGGAGTGGCTTGACCTTGGCGAAAATCGTTTGTCGTCTGTGTCAGCAGAGATATTGAGAGGACTTTCTCGACTGACGTTCTTGTCACTCTTTGGTAACCAAATTCGCTGTGTTGAATCAGACGCCTTCTCGAGCCTCAACTGTTCGGTCAACTTGATGGACAATCCGATCGATTGCAAGCATGCTTCATGGTCTTCGAATGTGATCTTGGACGCCGGAGTGAAGCTGTGTGAGGAAGAGACTATCTGCATCTCTAACGACCGCGGGCAAGTGGGGGAAGAGGTCAAGTCGACGAGAGCAGCGGAGAGATCACTCGGCAAAGATTGCTTCCTCCATGAGAGCTGGGAGAAAATCTTCGAGCGACTGGTGGACTCGCCCCCAGCTAAGTATGGAGAGTACGTGACAGGTAAGCTCTGCTTTTACCGTTGGTTGTGCAGCTAATGGCGAGGAAGGTTCACTTGGGCGATTGATAAGAGACAATGTGGAGGAGGTGTGGGTGTGCCAGTATGGCCATCCCTGTGCAGGAGAAGTCACTGCCAATGACAAGGTAAGCTCAATAGAAAGGTCCTGCCTAGTGTCTGGCTTTGACTCAAGTGAAACAGGAAAGAACTTTTTTGAGGGATGACCAAGCCTTCTGCTTTGTGTTCAATGAGATCAGGTATGTTCAAGGAGTAGCGAGATAGTTGGTCGTTGTCATGGTTACAGGGGAGGTGGGGGGGGGGCGGGGAGAACTTAAAGCAGTTCACTGACCTTACCGCAGTGAAACTTTCCGCCCATGGGGAATTAAGTCAGATCTCGCACTATGAGATAGAGGAGATGAAGAGATAGGATGACAAGTAGAGACTCTTCGGATGGGGGGGGGGGGGGGGGGGTGAGGTTCTGGAGGAGGGGACACGAGCTTGGAGCTTGACGAATGGAGTGGACTGCTTGACATGCAGGAGAAAGCAGCATGACTGTGTCGAGCATCTCAGCTGGAACACAAGTCAGCAACCCTCACTTGAAAACTTGACAATATCGCCTAATCGTCGATTTTTGGTGTCAATTATCGTTATGTTTCCATGCCGAGAATTTGGTTACCGCGGCAGATTGAATAAGCACAGAGGGCTTTCCTCTCTTGTTTGTTGAAGATCTTGTTTGTACTTTAGTTCTCTGGTCGGACTCAACTTTGGAAGCTTTGCACCGGGGTATTGAATGACCGTGCCATTTTTACATTTAACAACGTTAGTTTCACATTCAATTGCGTTAGTTTCACATTTAACATGATTAGTTTCACATTCCATTAGCCTTACTTTCACATCCAACATTGTTAGTTTCACATTCAACTGTGTTATTTCTACGAAATACAAAGTGAAAAAATTCCGAAGTTAAGTACCATCACAGTCTGATCTTCATCTCATTAGTCGCTCCCTCAACAGACGGATAGTGTCAACGCTTGTCCTGCAGCACCCCCCGATCATCGTGGCCCCGTTTGCCCTCCATGAATCTGAGAGTTTGCAGAAGTCTGCCAACCCATCATTCCTCGCAACCTGACAAGAAATTTACTCCTCACCTTCATCGTCCATGGCCGTCCCTGGTACCCACTCCCTCCTCGCGGTGTCGAACTTCTCTCCCTGACCATCAAGTCAAGAACCCGACGTAGCCGTCGCTCGTCACCTTGTTGGGATACACCACAAGCGGAAGGTCACAATAAGCTCTCATGGTGCTCAGAATCTTCTCAACATGCCGAGGATGAACGCAATTCACTCCCACGGAAACGAGAAGCCTGGTCTGCAGGCCCCTCAGCCCCCCTCCAGCACAGGCGGCAACCCACCGATGGTACTCTGGACGCCACGAACTTGGCGAACTCTTCAACGGATTCATCGCTGGACAGCGTCTCGTCATCTTTGCAGCACACCTGGAGCAGCGGGAGTCAGATGGCCTCGTCCAGCTAGAGTTGAGCAGCACCGAGATCCAGGCCGGGATGTTGGTGGCGAGGATTTGAGGGTCGTTAAGAACATCGATGATGGCCTCAACTTCCATCATGTTGGGGACTAGGAGAAGATGAGTGACGAGCTACACGCAGCAAACAGCTCACTTGTCTCGAATGCAAACACGTCAGGAGCTTCTTCTGCAAACAACTTGAGCCTCTCCAGGTGAAACCCCCTGAGCTCTTCCGGCGTGATCCCGTAACTGCTACCGGTGTACTCGGACCCATCTGCCAGGCTTGCGGCATAGCATCCCACACTCGCTCCTGCGAAAGGTTTGATCCTCCCCGCCGAGCTCCCGTCCTTGACCATTTGCTCCCACGCCTCGTTTCTCGCTTCTTTGATAAGCTGGATGCTGAACCTGAGCAGACGCTTCCCCTCTTCTTCGCTCATGCCCGCCCGCTTGAACCCCTCAACAGTACCTTGATACGACGCAGAAACCACGACATCAGCGCCCGCGAGGAAGAACGCGACATGCGTCTTCTTGATCATGGCGGGGTTGTCGCACAGGAGCCTGAAGGACGTGAGTCGCATGAGAGGATCTGCGCATGGTCACCTTGCCGACCACAAGTGACCGGACAGGTCAACTCCTTCTCGCTCCATCTGAGTCGCTTGCCCGCCATCGAGCACAAAGGGCCTCGTCTTGTCCCCAATGGCGCTCACAAACCTGGTGAAGTTGTCCGCCATGGCCTCCGCAACATCTTCAGTGCTCGATCACATTAAATTGTGATTGCTGTCCTCTGCAAAACCTATCTGATCAATTCTGAGGCCGGCTGGGATGACGCTCCAGCCCTCACCTCCTCCTTCGCCCCGCCCCCTCCATCCCTCCCCCCTCTTTTTTTTTTGTTTTTGCCCCCCCCCCCCCTTCTCCGCACCTGCCTCCTGCTCTTCTGCTGCTCTCCTCCCCTCTTAGCTTCTCCTCTCCCTCGGAGACATTCGGCGCCATGCGTGCTCATGGTCAAACCGTACACAGGGCGTCGCACTTTCAACCTGCATTGGTGCTGCTCATTCTTACCTCTTCCTTCCTCTCGCTTGAGGGGGCCGAAGCATCTTCTGCATGTCCGACTTCTTGCGACTCTCGTAGCATCTACAGCAGCCATTCTCGCGTCTCCTCCCCCTCGTCGCGTGTGATTCCTCTCCGTCCGTTACGCGGAGGCTTCAGCCCAGGCCATGGTGGCTGTGTGGTAGGAGTGCCCAATGAATGGAGCGGAAGAAACATCGGTGAGGCTTCGATGTATCTAGAACTCGAACTCATTGACAAGCAGGGCCAACGCAGCGCACAGTGAATCACTATCACTCGACGCTAAAGCCAGCGACCAAACCTCTGGTGGCCCCGGCTTGACCTTAATGCCCCGCGTCTTGTAACGCCTGTCTCTTGTTGTAGGTGCGATGGTTTCTTGATTGCTCACGTCCTGTGGCCGACAAGGTGAGCAAGGATTGCATCGCAGAGGGTGAGCAAGGATTGCATCGCAGAGCTCAACGTGCTGCAGGTACTGGACGTGTCGGACCTCGAGAGGTATCTGCGAGAGAACATCAAAGTGCAAGGCAAGACTGGACACTTGGTTCCCTTTGCTTCTTCTTCACACTTGTTCGCTCAAACATGTCTTCCAGGCGTCCAAAAGGGACGGCGGTCAGCCTTTCGTCACGATTCGCACAGACAAGAGGAACCGCATCATTGTTCAGGTGTCATGTGGCGTTTGGCAGCACTGGACTCCATTCACCTTGCTACTCAGGCTTTCATCCCTCTCTCAAAACGATACTTGAAGTATCTTTGCAAGAACTATCTGCAGAAGACTGGAACACGAGACTTCATGTGCGTCTTCCTCCTGCCCATGTTCCGCTCTCACCATCCTTCCAGCTGGTGTGTGGCTAGCGGAAAGTTCACATATCAGTTTCGCTACTACAACTTCGAAGGCAAGACTTAGCATCGTCCGAGCTTGAGCTTCTACTTATCCTATCACAGAGATCAAGGCTACAGCGCAAGCTACTTCCTTCCATCAGGACGATCAAAGGTGAGGTGTAATTTCTGTTTCTTCTTTGCTCACTTTGAATGATCCCAAGCGACGTCATTGGAGGAGACCAAGACGAAGCAAGAGAGGAGGCTGAGCAGGTCCCTGAGGTCATCGAACCGGCAGCAGCTGGAGAAGATCCCATTGTCGAGAAGGATGCTCCAGCTGAGCATGCGGAGTGAAGTGAAAGGAACAAAACATATGAAGCTTATGTAAGCGTCAGGATGAGAATAGAAAGGAAGACTTGGATCACTACGATAATCACTGCCTTGATCATGGTCCAACTATCGGCAACAGCAGCAACAGCAGCAACGACAACGGAAGAGTCCATTAGAACGCTAGGTTGCATACAATAACTCATTCTGAATCGTTCGATTATTATGATTCCATTTGAGGAATTTTCTACTATCAAATTCCCTTGCCTTCTCCCTGTGCTTCCTGCAATCGAGCAACCGTGTCCCCGAACAGATAGAGTTGGAGAAGCAGGATGACCTGCTGTCTCGTCAGATCCATCCACAACCTTGCGCTCTCACCTTGAGCTTGCTGCCATCCGACAGCACGTCTTGCATCTCTTCCAGCGTGTTGCACTCCATCAGCCTCCTGCGGCACGTCAGCTCGAGCTCTCCCACAGCTCCTCTCACTTCTCGCGGAAAGAGATGATGGATGCAGCTATGACAGGGACCAGCAGCAGCGAGTCCCACGCAAGGATGCGGTCCCAGACGGTCAGCACCTGACGCTTTGAGTGAGGAGACAAGGAGAGTCTGCCAAGGAGAGAGGACCTGATCGACATCCAGGTAACCCGCAAACACGAAAACAATCCAGTTGAAGGCCTGGAGGGTGAGTCAAGCAAGGCAGAAGCACCAGGGGAGAAGAGACCAGCTTGAGGGGATGAACACCCTTGCTAAGGATGTGATGGTAGAGTAGAGTGTTGGTCTCCTGCCAGCTCCTTCAGCCACACCCTCCCCTGGCTACCTCGCTTCCCTCGAGCCCATCACCTGCAGGAGAGACTCAAATTGTCTGGCCAGCTGCATGATGTCTCCGGTGTCTGAGGTCACGGTATGCAAACGGCAGCAGTACTGCGAGATAAGAATGAGATGGCGAGTGCTGAGAGGGGGAGCGAAACAATTGGACTGGGGGGAAGCAAGGGAAATGACGACAAGAAGAGAGAAGTAGATGGATACAAGACCTGGGCATACAAGCTCCTGAAGACGTAATAAAGCTCTGTGGTGTTGATGTATTGGTAGCACAGCGGTGTGGCATACATGACGATGCCGCGAAAGGGGACTATGCCACATGGCGGGAAGACCGCAGACTCTCTCTGCTGCTCATCCAAGAACTTCTCGTTGGCTTGCGATCGAACGGCAGCATTTTTGACAAGCCAAGAGTCTCGAGAGAATAGAGCCATCGTCTCTGACAAAGTCTCTTCGAATACGAAGTAGTCGTCGTCATTGGATGTGATGGTCACATCCAGTCTGAAGAGTTCGTCTGTCACAAGGTCCCACTGCCGAAGACTCGTTTGCAGCTGCTCGATATAGACTTGTTCTTGATCTTCTATCTGTTCGCATCGGGTCAACAACGTATAATCTAGGGAACATGGTGAAGGGATAGCAACGAAGGAGGATGTACCGAGACATTGAGAATGGTCTTCCAGACGGCAGGTCGTAGAGCTTGCGGTATTCCTCTCTTGGCAAGATGTCTGAGCATGGGTATGTATCCTATCTCAAGAGCTCGCTTGATGGCCTTCACTCTCTCTTCCAGCAGCTGGGGACGTTGCTCATCATCCACTCCAAGATGTCGTCCCGTTGACGGGTCGAGCTCCTTGAAGACTTCACGCGTTTGATCAAGATCCTTGACCTGGCAGCAGCAGGTGAGCACAGTGAGGGTGTCAGAGAATCTGATACCTCAAGCTCCACCTTGATCAGTCCCCAGTCTGGGATAGAATTCTTGATCCCCATTGGTTGATTATTCTGATTGACGATATTTGACAACTTTCGGAAAGAAAAATCAGGAGAATCGGGAAGCAAATTGGCGATAGCGAGTGAGATACTGGTGAAAGGTGCATACAGTAGGAAGGAAGGACAGGAATCAAGGGTATACCACGTCGAGAAGGTCGTTGTCGTCATATACAAACCTGATGGCTTGATCGTCGGTGGGTAACTTTGGTGGCTCATCTTTATGCAATCTCTGTAGGGGCACATCAAGTTCCGCTGCCATCGCATCAAGTTCTTGTCTTATTCTCTTCTCCCACTTCAACTTCGCTCGTTCGACAAAGTCCAGCTTGTCGGCGACGTACGTTTCTGAAGCGGACAGTCCAGGTGAAGGAAAGAGAGCATGTTTCGGCGCGGTTCTGTGCAGGTTGTAGATGACATTTTTCAAGCGAACGCCCATCCCCGTCTCTTCTAGTATCCCTTCGACTTCTGAAGCGATGGCTGCCATCCCCTTGAGGCCGTTTCCATGGTTATTCGTTGCCCGCCTCACCAGTTCCTCTTTCACTCTCCGTTTGATTGCCCAGACTTCAGCATTGCCCGTCATTGCTCTCTCTATCGAAGCAACAAGTTCTTCTCTTCTCCTCGAGCCTCCGGCTCCTCCTGTCTCTGACCCTCCCCCCCCCGCCCCTCCACCATCCTCTAGCCTCATCACCCCGTCAACATCGCTCCAATCGATCGTTATTACCCCCACCCCTAACTTCCCTGACTCTCCCACACAAAATCACCCCTCCTTGTTCGAATTCGTCACGTCAGTCGGGGCGGCCCGGGCCGGAATCGTTCTGATCCGAGTCGGACGCCGGGCGGCCGGTACTACCGGGTACGGACGGTCACCGCTCTCGGCGACCCGGCCCGGCCCTGACCGAGTCCGAGGCTCCGAGGCTCAGTAGTTATTAGTGCCTAAAGTAACGGAAATTGAATTCTCAGCCCCAGATGGATCGAGTCGAGTTCAACCCCCGGTGCAGTCCTTCTCACGCTCGGACGGTCCGATGACAGATGTCACAATGTTGAACTTAACGAGCCATGATATGACTTAGTCAATAGTACCGTGGCAAGAGTTCGATTCGCCGTACCAATAGATCTTGTAATGAAAGAGTTAGTATAACTTCGGAGACGGTGTCGATGCCAATACTACGGAGTCTCAGTAAATGACCGATGAAAGAACATTTGATAGCCTAGCATCAAAGTTACTCAAAAATAAGTTAAAAATCAGTACGAGGACAATCAGACAATTAGTTTTGATACCAATAGATCTGGGAATGAAAGAGTTATCATTAGTACAAGAGTTTTGATACCAATAGAGTCTCAGTAAAAGTATAGAGTTTCGATACTTAAAATGAAAGAGTTAGTATACCAATAGATCTTATAATGAAAGAGTTAGTATGGAATTTCGGTACCAATAGATCTTATAATGAAAGAGTTAGTATAGAGTTTCGCCAAAACATCTTATAATGAAAGAGTTAGTATGGAGTCTTATAATCATTGTAATGAAAGACTTAGTTTAGAGTCTTATAATCATTGTAATGCAAGAGTTAGTATAGAGTCTTATAATCATTGTAATGCAAGAGTTAGTATAGAGTCTTATAATCATTGTAATGAAAGACTTAGTATAGAGTCTTATAATCATTGTAATGAAAGACTTAGTATAGAGTCTTATAATCATTGTAATGAAAGAGTTAGTATTGCATGATCACAGGACTTCCTTGCTCGTAACTACCGGCGGGACAATCAACCATGCTACCTTTCCATTGAGTCCCTCTATCTTCTCCTCTCTTCTTCTCTCCCTCCCCCTTCTCCCAGAATCTCTCCGCCTCTCCCACTCCTTGTACACTCCAACAGGCTTCCACCTCCCCACCCTTCCCTATCTCTTCTTGCAACTTGAAACTAAGCTCGTGAAATTGTCATCTTGTTTTACTCAGTTCCCTCAGTCTTGGCTGTATCGTTACTTGCTCTACAACACTTCCCAATAGTTTTCCGCTTCTTCTCTCTGCATCCTTTGTCTGAACTCGATGAATCAGCTAGCTCTCACCCTCCTCGCCCTTACCCTGGGGTTTGCGGTGCCAGGAGTACAAGGAGATTTCCCAATGTCATGTGGGGGATGTCTGTTCACAATTTCGAGCGATGGAGTCTTGGGGAGGGAGGGTAGTTGTGTCAGCGACTGTTCATCTCTCTATCTACATGGTTGGACTCAACCTCTGCGAGCAATTCCAGCTGGGGCCTTTGCTGGCCTCACAAGCCTGCAGACTCTAGATCTATCTTGGAACTGGCTTGTCAGCCTCCCACCTGCAGTGTTTTCCGGTCTAAGCAGTCTGCAGTCCTTGATCCTACACTCTAACCAGCTGGAGAATCTCCCAGCTGAGATCTTCTTCAATCTCACTAGTCTCCAATCCGTGGATCTTTCCTGGAATCAGCTCAGGAATGTGTCGTCAAATGTCTTCACCAACCTCACATGCCTGAAGTCTATAGATCTTTCGTATAATGCGCGGATCAGTATACCTGCTGGAGTCTTCGACGGGTTGAGCAGCTTGACATCATTGCGCCTCTCCCAGGTGCAGCTGTCTCGCATACCTGCAGGGTTGCTCTCGATCAGCAGCCTGCAGACTCTAGACCTCTCCAGCAACCAGCTCGACTCTCCCTCTGCTGGAGCTCTCGCCGGCCTCTTGAGCCTGCAATCCCTTGATCTCTCCTCGAACCAGCTAACGTCTCTTTCTGCTGGGTTTTTTGACGGGCTCGGAGGCTTACAGGAATTGTACCTTCAGCAGAATCGTTTTGAAAGCTTTGCTGCGGGAGCCTTCAATGGTCTGAGCACCTTAACTAACTTAGATGTTTCCTCAAACAAGCTCACCAGCGTCCCTTCTGGGATTCTCAGCCTCACAACCTTGCGCAATCTAGACTTGTCGTACAACCAGCTTCCGCTCCTCTCTGCAAGGAAGTTCAGCTCGCTTACCCAATTGCAGAACCTGAAGCTACAATCGAACAGCCTGACTGGGTTGGCTGTCGATGCCTTCGTAGGCCTTGCTAGTCTGCAGAGTTTATACCTCTCAGGGAACCAGTTGACAAGCTTATCAACTGAAAACTTCGCAGCGCTGAACGGATTGACAACTCTGGATCTGTCATCCAATCAACTTATCAGCGTCTCTCCTGCAGTCTTTGCTAACCTAACCAGCTTAAATTTCCTGATGCTTCAACAGAACCAGCTCGTCAGCCTATCTCTTGGGGTCTTCGCCAACCTAACCAGCTTATCATTTCTGGACCTCTCCTCGAACAAGCTGACGAGCCTGCCTGCTGGGATCTTTGCTGGCCTGACCAGCTTGGGGTCTCTATCGATCAATTCAAACCAGCTGACGAGCCTGCCTGCTGGGATCTTTGCTGGCCTGACCAGCTTATGGTCTCTATCGATCAATTCAAACCAGCTGACGAGCCTGCCTGCTGGGATCTTTGCTGGCCTGACCAGCTTGGGGTCTCTATCGATCAATTCAAACCAGCTGACGAGCCTGCCTGCTGGGATCTTTGCTGGCCTGACCAGCTTGTCGACTCTGGACCTCTCCTCCAACAAGCTGACGAGCCTGCCTGCTGGGATCGTTGCTGATTTGGTAAGCCTACGGACTCTGTCGCTCTACTCAAACAACCTCGACAGCCTCATACCTGAAAATTTCGCAAACCTGACCAGCTTGTCGACTCTGGACCTCTCTGGGAACAAGCTGACGAGCCTGCCTGCTGGAGCATTTCAAAACCTAGGCAGACTTATGTATCTATCACTCTACTCAAACCAGCTCGCGAGCATATCAGCTGGGGCTTTTGCGGGTCTGAGCAGCCTACCGTCTCTGGACCTCTCTGGGAACAAGCTGACGAGCCTGCCTGCTGGGACCTTCGACGGGCTCAGCAGCCTGACGTATCTATCCCTCAGCAACAACGAGCTGGCAAGCCTGCCTGCTGGAGTCTTCGCCAACCTGAGCAAGGTAACGACTCTATCGCTCTACTCAAACCAGCTCGCGAGCATATCAGCTGGGGCTTTTGCGGGTCTGAGCAGCCTACCGTCTCTGGACCTCTCTGGGAACAAGCTGACGAGCCTGCCTGCTGGGACCTTCGACGGGCTCAGCAGCCTGACGTATCTATCCCTCAGCAACAACGAGCTGGCAAGCCTGCCTGCTGGAGTCTTCGCCAACCTGAGCAAGGTAACGACTCTATCGCTCTACTCAAACCAGCTCGCGAGCATATCAGCTGGGGCTTTTGCGGGTCTGAGCAGCCTACCGTCTCTGGACCTCTCTGGGAACAAGCTGACGAGCCTGCCTGCTGGGACCTTCGACGGGCTCAGCAGCCTGACGTATCTATCCCTCAGCAACAACGAGCTGGCAAGCCTGCCTGCTGGAGTCTTCGCCAACCTGAGCAAGGTAACGACTCTTTCGCTCTACTCAAACCAGCTCGCGAGCATATCAGCTGGGGCTTTTGCGGGTCTGAGCAGCCTACCGTCTCTGGACCTCTCTGGGAACAAGCTGACGAGCCTGCCTGCTGGGACCTTCGACGGGCTCAGCAGCCTGACGTATCTATCCCTCAGCAACAACGAGCTGGCAAGCCTGCCTGCTGGATGCTTGATGGGCTTGATCAACCTGACGTCTCTTTCGCTCAAACGCAATCAGCTCGCGAGCATTTCGACCGGCGCATTCTCTGGTCTCAGGGCTGTGTCGTCATCATGGCTTCCATCCACCCGTCAGCTCGCGAGCATATCAGCTGGAGTCATGACTACCGTGTCACACCTGCAATCGCTTGATCTCTCCTGGAACAAGCTGACGAGCCTGCCTGCTGCATTTCTTGCTGAGCTTTCACACCTGCAGACCCTGGACCTCTCTCTGAACCAGCTCACCAGCCTCCCAGCTGTCTCGAGCCTCAGAAGCTTGCAGTCCCTCTACCTCCAGTATGATCAGATCTCTACCATCCTACCAGAAGCCTTTGACAACTTGACAAAGCTCGAACAGGTGTCACTGCACGGCAACCCGCTGCTATGCTACTATCCCACTTGGCCTCTCACCATTATCAGCATGGATTCAAGATTACGCAGCTGCTACGACACCTACCCTTCCACGACTCCGCCTGTAGTTCAGTCATCTGCAACTCAGCCTAATGGGTTCTTAACTGTACCGTCATGGTTCTTCAACGGCACGACTCCACCACCAGGTTACGGCAAGGTTTACAGCTCTTTTCACGTGAGTCCTGTGCTGTATGGAGTAGTGGCCGCTGCCGTCGCGTTTATCTCAGGCATCGCCTTTCTGGCAAGGTGGCGAGCCAAGAGGAGGAAGATTGAGCTCACCCGGTCCATCATCTCCGCCAGTCGTCTGCAGTCATCCAAGTCGTCAGGGGTCAGCCAGTGGGACGTTGAGCGAGCAGTGGTAGAGTCGAATGCAGAGCCTGGGATCCAAGCTGAGTGTGACATGGAGGCAGCATGGGACGAGGTCCCGCAAGACTCGGACGGGGAGGAGGTCCTGCAAGACTCGGACGGGGAGGAGGTCCTGCAAGACTCGGACGGGGAGGAGGTCCTGCAAGACTCGGACGGGAAGCGTGCGGGCAAAAGACGGACCAGGCTGACGCAGCGCGAGCTCTTCTACTGGCCCAGGCTCAAGCCATCCGAGGGCGATTCCACAGGGACAGTCGGAGATACTGGAGGTGAGGGAGACGATGAGTTGGATGGCAGCGGCTTCTCAAAAGTGCTGAGAGCGTGGATGACAAGGGAGCACAAGCCACCAACTACCCGGAGGTAAGTTTGACTAGCTGCTGTGCTGTAGCTGCTCAAGTTGCTCACCGCAGGTCCGACCAGTCGCTCACCATCAAGATGGAGCTCGGTATCCTTTCCTCGTGTGTGCAGGACTCGCACGCACATTTCGAGCCGTTGGAGATAGTGCGGGAAGTTCGCTTCGACAGTAACGGTAGTTCAATGCAAGACACGGACACCAGACGTAGTCAGGACGTGTCAGAGCTGATCGTAGAGCAAGGCGCAGGAGATGCGGGGACGCCAGGCAGGCCCATGGCTGTTGGTCAGGACAGAGAGAGCGAGAGCTGTATGCAAGAAGAGGAAGAGCGACTTGCGCCGCTGGGAGAAAGGTGAGCGCGTCATGGCGAGTCACTAGAGTAATGGTCGCGCAGCTTCCTCGGGGGGTCAAGGGCTGAGGAGCGTAAGGAGACGGCAGGCTGCAGGGCCTGTTGCTTCAGGCTCCCGCCAGCATGTCGGCCTGAAACGCTTCGTTGAGATGACAAGTTTGGGCAGCTCTGACTAGCAAGCCCAGTGGAAGAGGAACATGGTGCGGTCATGGAGGAGAACAAGGTGTGTGTGGGAAGGATGGGAGGGAGGGAAGTGAGCGATGGCATAGCAGGAGGTCGATAGGAGGGAGTAAGGGTCGCATTAGGTGACTCATTCGTGTGAACAAGTTTGAGATGCAGTGTAGGCATCGATGATTGATTGAACTGCATCACGAACAACATGTTGAAAACAACTTCAATAACACTTGCAATGAAATTCTATGTACAGCCATTTTCATCATGCTTCTCTCTATCGTCATAATCCATTCTAATCACCATCTATATCTTCCATCTGTCGTCATTATTTTCCTCTTCATCTCCATGTCACCATCTCTATCATTGTCGTAATCATCCTCACCTCCATCATTATGGTCTCCAACTGCATCATCCTTGTCGTCATCATGATTCTTCTATGATCTTCGCTGTCATTCCTTTCATGGTCTTCATCCCTCTTCAGTTATCGTCTTCATCTCCATCATAATCATCATCTCCATCCTCCTCCTCCTCTGCTCTTCATAATGATCATCTCAATCCTCCTCCTCCTCTGCTCATCACAATTATCATCTCATCATCGTCATCATCTTATCATCTCATCATCGTCATCGTCTTATCATCTCGTCGTCATCATCGTCATCATCACCATACTCATCTACGATATTTGAATTTCGAGTTCGTAGCTGTACTAAACCCTGCCCGGCCGAAAATTCAAACGAGCAAGTAGGGGTGGGAGTACACAGAGGGTGGGTGGGGGGTTGCAAAGTTGGGGTATAGAGGGCGTCGAATAGTCAAAAGGGGGCAGGGGGGTTTTGTGACCGCTTGCAGTACCCTTATTTGAATATGTCTTTCGCCTATTGTTGTAGGGTCATGGTGGTCCATTTGAATCACAGGGATCCATCATGACAATCGGGGTCGCCAAGGTACGATGGTAGGTCTGATAGGGGTGGGTCTCCTTTTGAAAGCAGTAGAGGACCGGGGGGTGGGGAACCGCGCTAAAGCCCGTCCATGGCGGGAGGGTCAGCGTGAGCTGCGGCAGATCGAAGGAGGAGAAGGTGAGGCAAGAGGAGGTGTAAATCAGGGTCTTGAGACAACAAGGACGAAGCTTGTGCTGAGAAAGGGTATCGATGTTACGCCTCGTACACGAGTGACTAGAGTTGGATTGAAGTCCGTCATGGGAGGGTTTGGGTGTGTGAAGAAAACTTTTCTTGCAAGGTTGTGCGGTGAGAGATAGAAGAGAGAATGAGAATGAACACACAATGCATTCAGAATATTCACGAGCAGGAATCTTCTCCCTCCTTGGTTTGTTATCGAGTGTCATCAGCAAAGAAGGGTTGGCAAGTTGTATTTTTTGAATCCTGGAACCCTCGCGTTCATATGTAACTTCAAAGGCCAAGAATAGGAGGACGGAAGTAATAATCTTAGAGAGATGATCATGTTCTTGTTATACGACAACTTGTTTCAGCCCCGAGATAATTTCTGAATCTGATTGAATCGCTTTGTTTTCCTGCAGAGTTGCAAGAATTCCTGATGATGGCTGACGAATCACAGTCAAGAAACGCAATGACCAACTCATCCCTCCTCAAGAGAAACCGATCGGCTCTTGTAGACATCACCAACACCATCACCACAAGGTCACGAGCAGCGAAGGAGCAGGTGAATGATCTCGTCTTTGTGCGACGAATTGACAGGGTTCAGTCCAAGGTGAGCGTGGCAACGAGGGAGGAAGTGAAGGAGATTTTAGCGAGAGATGATATGGTCATGTCACCGAATGTTTGCGGTAGGGAACTTTCTTCGAGATTGAACTTCTTAGTCACCCCTGCTCAGATTCTTCGCTCTTGGATGATACCGAAACTACAATGCGCAATTCTGATTTGGTCATTGCTCATGATCAATCCAACAGGAACAACACCGATGGCTGTGGGGAATATGCTATCGAGATCTTCGAGCATCTGATCAACACGGAGAGGAGGCTGAGCCCTTCCTTTAACTACATGGAGCAAGTCCAGCACGATATCAACCCAACTATGCGAGGCATCCTCATCGACTGGCTTGTGGAGGTTGCAGAAGAGTACAAGCTTTCATCGGAGAATCTCTTCCTCTCTACCAACTACGTGGACAGATTCTTGTCAGTCATGCCTGTCCTTCGCTCCAAGCTTCAGCTGGTGGGAGTGACGTGCATGCTGATCGCATCAAAGTATGAAGAGATCAATGCTCCTCAAGTAGAAGACTTCGTCTATATCACCGACAGCACGTACTCAGCCCAGGAGGTAACTTAGAGTGGCTTGATCTCTGCTTCTTCTAAGTGTCCTTGCAGGTGCTACAGATGGAAGTTGTGATTCTGCATGCGTTGAAGTTCAACCTCACAGCCGTTACCCCACACAATTTCCTTACAAGACTTTGCAGCCTCCTCAATCATGACCAGCAGACCAAACACTTGTGCGAGTACTTGACGGAGATCACGATTCAAGAGTTTCAGTACCTCAAGTATCGACCGAGTGTCATCGCTGCAAGTGCTGTCTGTCTGGGTATGCATACGGTACCCTTAGCCCTGTCCTCTCTGCTCCTCATAACTCCTGTCGCAGCTCCGCAAAGACTCGCTCCATCCCATGTTCCTGCAAGTCCTTTCCATGTGGCGCATAGAGCTTGGCGAGCTCGCTGAATGCGTGCGAGAGCTGCACGGTACTCACGTCCGGATAGCCAACAAGACGAGGACGCTGCAGGCGTCCAGCGACAAGTTCGCGCACAGCAAACTGTGAGCGTGGATGATGAGAGTGATGATGCATCTGGAGGAAACGGGAGAAGGAAGGATGTGACTTGGAAGAAGGGCGAGGGAGGGTTGGAGGGGTGGTGGGGAGGATGTGCCATGTGACTGCCCTCTTGTCACGTTTCCTCTATGTTGATCCTACTGACGTTGGGCAGATCTCGGGCGAGCAGCATTCCTCCACAGCCCAGCTTACCGGCCATGCTGGATCATCTCTAGACCAACCTCTAGCGTATACTACACTCATCGAGCTCGACAAGGCGGCAGGCCCGCCTCCTCTCGTCAGATGACAGCCTTAGCCTACGGTGCACGCTCGTCTCGTGCTGGAAGTGGCTCTCCACCACCTCTGCCATACTATTCAAATTTAATGATGACAGTGCAGTGACAATGAAACACTAATGCGCTGAACCGAGTGACTCCCGTCTACTTACGAAGAAGGGGCTTCCCAAGCCGCTGGGACGCCATGACCGTTCCTCGCTGCACCTTCTGACACGGATCAAGAGCTGCAAGCGCGCAGCTTGTGGCCATACTCTCCGATTGAAGCACTTCTGGCGAGCTTGGAAGCCCGTCATCAACTTCAAAATTCATGGGAGTCCGCGCGCCTGAAGCAGTCGACGCCAAGCTAGCCTCTGTGTAGTTCTCCTCCGAGTCAGAACCATTATGGTTGACCAGCAACCCGCCTTGGTACAAGCCGCCGTTGCTTCCACCTGAAGGCTGAGCCCACCGTTCAAACAGCCGAGAGCCCGTGGTACCAGAATGGGCCGAGAGACCTCCCACAAATGGAACAGCCCCGAACGAATTGTTGGAACCTGCGAATGGCATGTTTCCTTGAAATGCCGAGTACGGCACAAACGAACTTCCGGGGTCAGATGTGGCTGGTATTTGATCTAACGAGGTAGCAATAGCCATGACATGCTCAATGCTTGTCAGCGGGTTGAGCGCGAATGACTCCACGTCGACTTCTTCCTCTGAAAAAACTCCTTTGCTTTGCGGCTGCCACCTTGGGTGTCCATTTCCGTTTGACAACGGCACATGCGAAGGTGTACTTGTATGTATCGGCACCTGAGGCTTGTGAATTTGAGGCTGTGCTTTAGGCTGCTGCACGATTTGTGGCTGAGAACGCAGCTGCGTCTGGGGCTGGGGCTGGGGCTGGGGCTGGGCTGGGCTTGGGGCTTGGGCCGGAGCCGATGCACGAGCTGGAACACGAGTCTGAACTTGTGCTTGAGCATGTGCTGGAGGTTGAGATCGTGTGAGTGCGGGACCTTGATTGAAGTATGCAGAATTGTTCTCAGCCTTTGAAGCTGGCGCAACTGACTGGTAGCCATTCGAATGATTTGAAGCCACCGTTTGGGTCGGCATGGTGGAAGAAACGTCAACCTTACCAGCCAATATTGCCTGTACGCGCAATTGTCGTTGGACGGGGTTGAGGGAGTTGTCACGCATGATCGCAGCTATCTGCTGCTTCTTGGCATACTCAACCCCACCTTCTTTCTCCTCCTCTTCGACCATTGCTTGTCTAGCAGCCTCTTCTTCTGCCTTCCTTTCGGCTTCCTCTGCCTTACGGCGTTCCTCAGCTTCTAGTTCCAGCTTTCTTTGCTTCTCTGCCTCTTCCTGTGCTTTTCGTCGAGCTTCTGCTTTCTTTCTAGCCTTCTCTTCTTCTTGAGCCTTTTTCTTGGCCTTCTCTTCTTCCTTCTTCTTCTTCTCTTCCTCTTCCGCAGCCTTCTTCGCTGCTTCTTCTGCGGCCTTCTTAGCAGCTTTTGCCTCTACGTTGAAGAAGTCAGTTGACAAGAAAAAGGAATTTGATTTGATCAAATATGAAGATACCTTGTTGCTTCTTTCTCTTTTCAGCTTGCTTTTGCTTCTTTGCTTCTGCCTTCTGATTTTTCTCTTCCTCCTCACGGATAAGATCCTCTTGCAATTGCAACGCCAGTTTCTCATGATAAGCCGGGTGTACGTTGGTAATATACATCCCACACATAGCAAATACTGAGAGCATTTGACGACCCATAGCTTCAAGGCAAGCTCCATCGCAGCTTTGTGGTTTTAGGTGCTTGACCAGCGCTCTCACATTGTCCAGAGCGTCGGATACTTGAGCACGGAAGACATCAACAAAATTGGCGGAGTTGCTCATCCTTATAACGCCTTTGTGAGTGCGGAGCATCACACGAGATGATGCTTTCAATGTCCCAGCAGTCAGCTGATCGACACTGTCATGCCTACTTACAAGAGAACTTAATCCACCCGATGATTCGGGAGTCAATCTTTCGATTCGTAGGACAGTTCCTTCACCACCGCTCACAACTGCAATCCCCGTACAACCAACAAGAGATCTCTTCGCACTGTCTTGCAAGCCGTTGGAGCAGTCATGCGCTGCCTTGAAGATAACATCTGCAGCCAAATAGGTGGCTGGCTGGTCTCGAGAAAACAATCGAGCTTTCACGTTCAGAAGCACCTCATCCATGGTAATCTGCAACAAAGCTCTCTTCTTAGCATCAGGTAAACCTGTCCAAAAATCGCTGAACCCTTTGTGCAAGACGCTGTTTCCACACAGCTTATCCAGTCTTTGCAGCTCGTCCTTCAAGAAAGGCTCGAAGTAGCTTTGAAGAACTCTTTCATAGTACAAGCCGCACAATGATTTCCTGTAAACCCTGTTCACAGGCATATACTCGTGGGTCACCACATGTACTGTAGCCTGGAGAGTAATCTTCCCCTGGTCATCAGCCCATCCCTGAGATACATCATGCAGCTTGCTTAGGTTGATCAGCTTGCTCCAACCCCAGGCACTGTCACGTTTGCCTCGAAATATATCATACCCGGTGTGAGTTGATGTTTTGGAAGGATCCTTATTGACAACAGCAATCTGATAGTGTGCCGTTTGGCTCCATCCAGGCAGTTGTTTGCGATCTACTGCGCACAGAAACACAGAAAGTGTTTTGTCACTTTGACTATCTCCGTAAGGATACATCTCCAGCTTCCATTCGAAGCCCCCGACTTCGAAGACATCACTGCAAACGATATTAGACAGATCCAAAGGATGATATTGATTGTCAACAATCATATTGAAAGTCATGAGAGAATGAGAAACAAACTCGCTCTACCTGAACTGTCGAATTTTGCTGATATCAGCAAGTGAATCTTTATCGGCTGGAGCCGCTGGCAATGCAACAGTCCAGGTAAATTGGCCATAGTGGTTGTTGTTGCCTGCTTCAAAGTTGCACGGATCTCGATCTGGTGCAGGGGACGGAGCGATCTCTTCCTCCTCTTCGTCGTCGTCATGTTCATGATTGCAAGAAGCAGATGCTGCTGCTGGTGCGTTTGACATTGCTTGTTATTCAACCGGAACTGAAATCGCTCCTCTCTGGTCTAACGATCACGAGCATGTCAGAAGAGAGAAAAAAAGTGCCATGCAGAAGAAAACAAAGACATAGGTGTAGAAGTATGTCTGCAGAAGAAACAAAGACATAGGCGTAGAAGTATGTCTATATTAATCCTTGGGAGTTGCTCCGTGAGCCAAAACATTACACAAACAAGGCCTCGAGACCACCGAAGAGGTTTTGGTTGTCTTAAACTGGTTGTGGTTGTCTTAAACTGGACGTGGTTGTCTCAAACTGTTCACCAAGATTTCTCTAATTGCAATACTTCACTCAGATATACTTGACTATACACAACCTGATCATCATCGTTCCAACGCAACGTCCTAAAGCCACAAACCACAACAAAAAGGAAGAAGAACATTAATGTTGCTGCTGGGACTAACGAGGGGAGGCACTTCGAAGCGCAGAGGTTCAGCCCCTAGCCCAATTACAAACAGGGCAGAGGAGGAGGCCACAAGAAACTACCGCTCCACTTCCTCATCCCTCGGCTGTCCCTGCATTGGCAGGCGCCGCTAAAAGCCTATGGTATGGTCGGCATCGACACTAAGGGGGTGGGGGTGGACTCAGATTCCGGGGTAGGTCTGTACAGGGGGTAGGTGTGAGGTGTTGGAAGAGGCCACGATGAGGGGTGGCGGTGCTTCTTTACCAGCGAAGCAATTTATCTCATTCAGGAGGGGTGGTATATAGAGCCTACTGACTGTACCGGTGATGGCTTTTTGAGGGAACGCTAGGGAGGTCGCGAGAAACAGGATGATTTACATGGGTGGGGTGAATGGATCACCGGTCCAACGCTAATTTGGCTGGTCATCAAAGCCACCGGTGCTGAAGATTATCCAGAAATAGTGGGTAGGGTGATACTCTTCACATGCTCATGCACTGGAAACCCCAAGGGTAGGTGGATAAAAGTGATGGGTAGTGGAATCGTTTATCGCCAATGTATAGAGAGAAATAGGGGTATATTCAGGATAAATTAGGGGTAGGGGTGATGATTGATTGAAGTGGCTTGGATCAGGGTGGGTGTAAGACCAATGGACAAGGGGGTCCAATGACCTGTTAGTTGCAGACGGAAGTGATGCACTAGGCAACGAGTAGACCCACCTAGACCCCAGTTTCTTCCTATTTAAGTGAATTATTCTTCGCCTTGTTTTAGAGTTTATGAGTAAACATTTCAGTTAATAATTCCCGTTTTGTTAAAATAATTTTATTTATTTGTTTTGGATTGCATTCACTTGCTAATGAGTAGCATTTGAAACTCAATAAAAAAAACATAGAAGACATCCTGTACTCTACCCGATACCCACCCGTGTCTATCTTCATCACTCTTGACAACCCCTACCATGCCTTTGCCCGGCCTCTTTTCTTCTACCCCCTGGTACCCCCTCACTCTCATCTTACCACCCCTACCTCCGAGACTACCCACCACCCACCTTCAGTTTTCAGTCCAACCGCTTTGCCGCGTACAGCCTTGTGCAGCTGCCGCTATGCTTGTTTGAGTAAATGTACTACTTAACTTTGAGAAATGATTTTACTCACCATGGCGGCGGCACGTATCACACGGCGGCGTTAGTCATCACTGATCATGCCCGGGCCCGGGCCCCGGCCCGGGTCGTACCGTGCAGTGCGCACCTTCACCCTCCGAGGCTCGCGATGATGGCATCTAAACTTCGGCCGCCGTCCGGGTTCCGAGTTCAAGTGTTCAGCCTGGCCGCAGGCCGCACTGATCAAGGGGGGCACGCACTCTCAGTACCGCGCGGCGGGCCCGGCGACCGTACGGTAGTACGGGGCCCGAGTCACTGCCTGACTCAGTGATCGTCCGGTCGGCGAGTCCGAAGTTGATTCGCCTGTGTCTTGAATGGAATCAAAAAGTATTTTTAGATTCTGGTGGTCTCGTAGTACATTTTGGTATGTAGGTACAAAGTATTGTAATCATAAAATGTTTATAAAAAGTCTAACTGCCGGCACAACATGCTGCCCCTCCCTCCCTCCCTCCCTCGCTCCTCGCTCCCTCCCTCCCTCCTCCCTCCCTCCCTCGCTCCTTTGCACCTGCTTCCAATCCTCACACACTCAGTCAGTCCTGTCTTCTGAACTTGGTGTGCGTGCCTGTGCGGCTCGGTTGTCTCATTCGTTGACATTGATGCGGGTCAACACGGATCTCCACATTCCCCCTCTGCAACTGTCCACTTCTTCTCCTCAGCATCTCAATCTCATGAGGCCTTGAGAGTCTGCCTTCTGTTATAAGACAAGTTGCTATGTTTCCATCATTGCTGCTTCTGAAATCTACTGAACATCTTACTTTTGCTCTGCAGATTTTCACGGGTTGGTTGGAACATGGGGGCAGTACACCCGAGCTGGCCAGGCTTGGAAACTTATCTGAATTACTTTGTCCCTGTCAATGCATCAGAGACTGTTCCTCTGTGCGAGAGCGACATCTCACTCGGACCATGTTACAACCTTCCATCGCCCTATCAGAACATATCTCAACAAGCGTTCTTCGGGACGTTCCGTGTGTTCATGTTCTGTGTGACAGTGCAAGTGTGTGCCATCCTGCTGTCGCTGCTGTATGACCTCTTGAAGAAGCTTGTGATGGTGAGCTGAACTACAATCACCACCGACTCCTGCCCCTCTTTGACCGTCTCCTCTTTCTTTTTCTTGCCACGTCCCCGTCCATGCTGCAGCTTGCCGATGAATGTTTGGCTTCCACAACTTGACAGTTTGATCGGCAGAAGATCCAAGTGAGTCTCGGTTCCTTCAAGAACATTGTCTCTTACCCGCATGCCTACACTCTGCCATGGATGATCTTGGTATCTATCGGCAGCATCCCCTCAGCTCGTGGTGATATGGTTGGGCAGGATGCGTTGGAGGTTGTTCTGTCGCTAGTCTCGTTCATCACGTTCATCATCCGATCCTACGATGTACAGGATAGCTACCTGGAAGCCACCAACCTCCTCCTCTGGATTGTCGAGGGCCTCCTCTTCATCCGCTACCTCCTCAGCTGGTCCACTGCTCTTAAGAAGACGCGGCATGTTGTGTCTCTTTGCCAGGTCTTTAGTTTGACCAGCATCTCCTCTGCCTTCGTCGTCCCTTTCCTCACAAGAGGATGGCTGCCTTTCAACTTCCTGCGCGCTGTCACGGTCACCTGGCCCATCCATCGCCTGTTTGAGGAGCTTGACTTCCCCGAGATCTACGAGAATGTCGTACTGAGCATGACGGACTTCGTTGCCATGGTCTTCTCGTTTGCAGGCATCATCTTCATCCTCGAAAACATCGGCAATCCTCCTGGATGGTGAGGCCACCCTTCCTACAACAACCCCCACCTGTTGAGGGTAGCCCGACTTCTCTCCTCCCTCGTCTCCCTCGTTCCGCTCCTTGGCTCCTCCTCCTCCTCCTTCCCCGCTTGTCCCTAGAACCTTCTCTATGAGCCTTGCTCTATCCCTCCTGCCTCTCCTTTTTTCCCCGCCCCTTCGTCCTCCTCCCTCTGCCTTGGCCTCAATCTGCAGCAGGTACGACTCACAGGACACGAGTCTGAGCTTCTTCAAGTCCGTCTGGTATGTCACCGTCACGATCTCTACCGTGGGCTACGGGGACGTCTACCCTATCTCCTTCTTGGGGCGCATAGCAGGCATGCTCTTCATCGTTACCGGCGTGCTCTTCTTCGGGACCAAAACTTCGCAGATCGCGCTCCTGCTACAGGAGTCAGCGCAGGGGCGCGGGAGGTTCTCCAACAGGCGCAAGTCCCACGTCATCCTGACTGGCAAGCTCGACGAGGTGAGGGGAACGATCGAAGAGGAGGAGGAGGGCTGGAGCAGATGGAGCAGGAGCGAGCGCGGGAGGGGCAGGCAGGATAGGTAGGGGAGCAGAAGGAAGGAGCCTGACATGGAGTGCAGGTGAATTTCCGCGACTTCCTGCAAGAATATTTCCACAGAGAGCATGCAGGGCACAGGAAGGCTGGGCTCAAACTCTGCGCGCTCGCTTCATACCTCCTCAAGATCGACCGCGTGGGCAGCAGGAGGAGCCTCCCGCTCAACAAGCTTAGCGTCCTCCAGGGTCACTTCCCCACCGACAAGCATCGCGTGCGAGTGGCGAACGCGGCTGCGATCTTCCTGCTGAGCAAGTCGCACACGACGGAGGACGGAAGAATGGAGGACAAGGAGCAGCTGTTCTGTGCGCTCAAGGCGAAGCTGTGGAGGAGCAGCATTGAGGTCTACACGAACCTGCTGGATCGCAGGAGCTTGCTGCACTCCTCAGGCATCATCGCACTCTGCTCCTCGTCTCTGCGAGACGGGCTCCTCTGCAAGTCCGCCTCCTGCCCCGGCGTCATCCCCCTCGTCGGCAACCTCGTCGTCTCCGCCAACGCCAAGTCGCTCTCAGCAACGGACGTCAGCACGCGCCTGCTGCTGCCGCAGACCTACCTCGACGGGCTCGAGCTTGAGGTCTACGAGGTGATCCTCCCCGACTTACTCCTCGAGCGCACCTTCGGAGATCTCGCCGAGCTTCTCTTCCTTGACCTCGGCATCCTCCTCCTCGCCGTCGACGTTTCTGACGACGACGGAGCTCTCCTGACCTCCAAGGGCTTCCGGAGCCGCCGCAGCCAGTCCCCCGCCTCCCTCCCTCCTGCTGAGGAGGGAACGAGGAGCATTCAGGTCTTCCCCGGGAAGGACTTTGTGGTGGAGAAGAGGAGAGCATACATCATCGCCAAAGAAAACCCCCAGCGTCTCATCGAGGAGCGCGCCATGGCGTCCTCCCGCCTGTCCTCCAGCAGGAAGTCTCAAGTCGCTCCCTTGGTGCAGGACAACCCTCGTTCCCTCAGCGGCAAGTCCTTCGGACATGATGCGCACTCTCTCTCTCCTCCTCCTCCTCCTCCTCGACGCCTCGAACCCTCCCCATCTGTCACGGTTGGAGGCACAAACTTCGGCGAGGAGGAGGCGGGACCAGCATCTGGCGCTGCAGAGAGCAGGAGAGGAGGAGAAGGAGGAGGAGGAGGAGGAGGAGGAGGAGGAGGAGGAGGAGGAGCGAGAAGGAGCAAGAAGCCCCGAGACCATCCCACTGAAGCCTCTTCCTAAGGAGCTGCTCGGACTGCAGCTGAAGAAGGGACAGGGAGCGTTTGAGGGGATGGGGGAGGGGATGCAGATAAAACGAGGTGAGGAGGAAGAGC